GGCTATCTGCAGAATACTTAACTATCTTTTTATTTATATGTGTTTCAGGTTGGAAATGCCCTGACTGATGATTTCTATGACCACCTTGGGGTTTTCCAATTTATGTGGTCATCCGGATTAATCTCTGATGAAACATACAAGCTGCTTAACGTATTCTGCGACTTTGAATCATTTGTACACTCATCAGACAAGTGCAATAAAATACTAGATGTTGCTAACAATGAACTTGGAAACATTGACCCATATAGCATCTATACCCCCTCTTGTACTGCAAACTCTTCGTTACCTAACAAACTACTGAAAAGACTGGTAAGAGCTAAGTGGTATTTTGGCATTTGTTTTAATCCTGCAACATTTTTTGTTTGTAAAATTAGCATGTAAGAATGTTAATTATTTATCTAATTAATGCAAAGCTACATACTTCCTCCGTCCTTGATTAAAAGCTCAATTTATCTCAAAATTTTGCTCCTATTCAAAAGTCCCGTTCTGCTATTCCTAATTCGGGTGGGCCCCCGAATCCACTATTTTTTTTTACTCACTTCTAACGAACAAACCCCTCTAACCCCATTATTTTTTTGCTTACTTCCTCTGGAAACAATAAACTATTCCCACTACCTTTCTTTTGTATTCAATTTTAATCAACAACACCTCACTAACACTCGTCTCTTAAAATTGTGTGCCTATGAGAAATGGGGATTTTATTTAGGGATGGGCGAGTATTATTGATGGGGAGGTTGGCCTTCAGTACTTGGATTAAATGGGGATAATAACTTAACATTGTGCATCCACCTTGTATCCTCTCTGAACTATTTAAGCATTGACCTTCTAAGATTAGAGTTTTTTGTGTCCTTGGACTTGAGCCGACATAATGTCAGCTAAGACCTTGCTTTCTATATTGGCTTTTTAGTTCTGTGAAACTTGCTCTCTCTTACTATACTGACTGTGCTTATTAATTATCATCTTGCTGCTTGGAGATCTGATCTTTTGAGCTAGTTGTGCATGCCTTATTGAGTAACAAAAATTGTTGTTAGCTTCCGTTCCAATATTATATTCAATCATATCACATTGATTATCCATTTATCCTACTTTCTGATTTGGGGAGTTCAAATTGACTGTCTTTTATGTCCACTCTTTGACTGTACAACTAATGGACTACTTTATTAGAAAATATGCCTACTTATTCTTTTTCCACTTTTCTTGCTTTATATGAAATGTTAACTAAGGTTAATACTCTAATATGTAGGGAATAATTTCAAGTTTTATAAATCTAAAAGTTCATCCTTGTTTAATATCTTTGTTGATTATTCATGATTGGGAATGGTATTTGCTAGATCGGTCACACCAATGAAGCATATGATCCATGTAGTGAGAAGCATTCAGTTGTATACTTCAACAATCCAGAAGTTCAGCAAGCACTACACGTTAATCCCAAGTTTGCTCCTAAGAAATGGGAAACATGCAGGTAGTTCTCCAGAAATAGGCAATTGACCATTTTGTCAGATCAAATATTATAAGCATGGTTTAGCAGGAATTTTTTAGTGGCCACCTATGTGCATGATAATCTGGCTAACCTGGCTTTCCGCTTCTAGTACAGGGTATTCTGAGCAGATGATTTTCATTGAGTAAACTGTTGCTCATGAAAAGATATTTGCGACATGACTTGATCACAATTTTTTTGGAAACAGGGGCTGTTTGATTACAAAAATGGGTTTGATTGGAGATAAAAAATAATCTAACATTGCTTCTAGCTCTTGTGCATTTTTTTTTACCTCAAATATAAAGCTCATGTATATTTTTATGCATTAATTTAGTGTGATAATTTTGTGGTATATCCAGTTTGTTCTGGAAACTATATCATATGTATGTTTTATAAATCCTTCAGGTTTGATCTCATTTCCAATATTCGTTTATATGATAACGTGGCAATCTTTAGATAGTATCCTCACACTCTGAACTTTGAAGTTTTTTAGCTAATAATTCTGCCTTGAAGCTGTAACACTGATATCCAGAACAATAATTATATTTTCCAATGATTTTCTCTTGATCATCTTCGTTCGTATTCTCCATCCCATAATAGAGTTACTAGTTGACTTTGACATGATTTAAGCTTGCGAAACCCAGAACAGTAACAAGGTACTTTATTGTTGGGTGGAGGGAGTAGATATCTGCTGACTGCTATTTAATTGTTGTGCTTGTACCCTGCATTCCTTTACATCTATACACTGCACCAAATGGAGTTGAAGTTACCAGTTGCAATTTAATGCCACTCAATATACTTTTTTCCTTCTTTGTGTCTTGCAGTGAAATGATAAATACCAACTGGAAAGATTCATCGAGCTCAGTCCGTGACATATATCACGAGCTTATAAATGCAGGACTTCGAATTTGGATTTTCAGGTTTTAATCAGCAGACTCTATCTTATCCTGTATTTGGCTCTGTATTTTTTCCTTTGTGCATGTGTGTGTGTGTGTGTGTGTGTTTTTTTTTTTTTTTGGGGGGGGGGTTTGGAAGATCACTGAGTTCAGTCCTTGACATATATTATGGATGTGGGAATTTGAATTTGGATTTTCAGGTTTTAATCAGCACACACTATCTTATCCCTTATTTAATCCTGTAATTTTGTGTTTTTTTTTTCCGGGTGGGTTGGGGGGGGGGGGGGGGGGCTCGGAAGATCATGAAACCATTTTTTGATGGGTTTGTTCTAAGTGTCAAAATGGTTAGAATATACTCCCTTTGTCCACATACAAATAATCTTCTTGTATTTCCTTTTAGGATGTCCACAAATAATCTTCCTGTATTTCCTTTTAGGATGTCTTACAAAAAATCTTATTGGTTTAAACTTTAAAATATTTTTTTTTTCATATTTAACCCATGTGAAGTACACACTCTCTGTCCCCATAGCCCACCCTACTAAATTCCTTAATAAGGGTGCCAAAGCCTAACAGGAAGATTTTTCATGGAAAGAGGGAGTATATTAATATATGTAATTTGTATATATGACCTTTTGGTCTATTGTTGAGCATCATTTCCATGTTTTTTTTTCATTATAATTGATTTCCCATTATATTAGAAAATTATTGATATTTTGTTTGTAAAAGTTCAGAAACTGACACGTACTTTGTTGCACATAACACTCGTGACTGGACTTAAGTCTGGAGTTTATTAAGTTGATGTTATAATTAGGATTTGGGTGCACATATATATTGGTGATATGTGCACATGAGCTCCTTCATAATGACAGCCAATTGACTGGCAGGCTCGGTGCATCAGCTTGTTTGTGTAATTGAACCAGTGACCGTCAACACTAAATCTAGTACAAGGGTTTTTGTGGCAATGGTCAAATTAGGACAACACCCCAATTAGTCTTTTTGTTAAAGCATATGTTACTATCAAAGGGCTGGTTGTGGTTTGCAATTATTTTTCTTAGTCGATTTTGTCGTTTGCAATTATATTTTCTGTATTGCTCTATCTGTATTATAAGCATGTTGATTGTAATTGTATTTTTGTTGACATGAAATGAGCTCCAATGAAAAGCAAATAATATAGCTTTTTTATTTTATTTACTCAATGCAGTGGTGATACTGATGCTGTAATTCCTGTCACATCAACAAGATACAGTATAGATGCTCTCAAACTTCCAACCGTTAAGCCTTGGCGTGCCTGGTATGATGACGGACAGGTAATTTATTACACTTACTGTAGAAGCTAAGACTACTTTCCTATATTATCCTCGGTTTTACTGTCAGCTTTGTCTTATTACTCTAACCAAAACTGGTTATGGATTCCTCAAGTCTAATTTATGCTATGATGCATAAGCTATGCTAGAGTTTGCGTTTATGTTTTGTGCATATACTTATTCAAGTACTTATATAATTGTCATTTATTTTCTATTCTTTCCATTGCAGAACTTAAATCGCTCCTAAGATGGTTAGATGGAACTTGTTTATCAAACTCATATTTTACTTTTTGCAACTTGCAGTCTTATAAGTTTAAAATTTTAATCATATGCTGTTCTGATACATAATTAATGGAATAGTTGTTTGAACCTCACTAATATAGGCTTTTGGGAAGGAAATACTGCCTTAATGCCTTTTACTTAGCTCAGTTTCTTAGTGTTTAAATTACCTTTCAGATATTTTGCTTTAAATTCATCATCCTAGCTTGAGTTTTTGACTGATTGTTTACATGGAATTTATGTACTCGAAAAACCTCAATTTAATCATATGCTGTTCTGATACATAATTTGGTTTTTCTGTACTCGAACAGGTTGGGGGATGGACACAAGAATACAAAGGCCTTACATTTGTGGCGATGAGGGGAGCTGGCCATGAAGTCCCTCTACATCAATCTAAGCTTTCCCTTATACTGGCCAAGTCCTTCTTGTCTGGTGAATCGATGCCAGCACTGCATCAAGTCAGTGATTCTTAAACACAGCATTCTGTAGGGATAACTATTAGGGGTTGTTATGATCAGAGAGTTGAAAGGATCTTAACTCTTGATTGTCTTTCCCATTCTCGAAACCCCTATTTATATGCACTCTAGATTTAATATATAACCTCAATGGGGTCAAGAAAATTCCAATATTCATACGGAATAATACTTCACCCGCTTACGACAGTGATACTGAATATGTGTATGTTTTAAAGTGCTGTTTGGGGTACAAACCCCTTGTGTACATGTTAGAGCTTTACTTGGGTTAATCTCTGTTTTACCTTGCTTTGTTTGAAAAGTGATTCTCATTGCAGTGAGAACTTGGGCAAATTGCTGGACTTGATTTCTCTTGCGAGCCGTAATTTTTTTTTTTAAATTCACCTGAAATTCAAAACCAAACTTAGCTTAAAGAAAGATACATTCCTTTTGTGACATTTAGGTCTGGAATATCATAGACTCACACCTGCATTGATGCATACATATCCTTAATGTTCATGTATGCTTTAGATTGCTTGTTTAATATCAAACTCGAGGTTAATACACCTAGAGTTGTAATGCTCGATAAAGGTATTGTCCAATTGCTTGATAACGCTTAGCCTTGAAATGATGCTAATGTGTACATTACCGTGATTAATTAGTATATGCTTCTTCTACATAAAAATCTACATATATGAGTACTTTTGGTTAGCTTCCGATACCTCCCAATGAAGATCCTTGACTGGAAAGAACTGCGAAAGCACTTTAAGGGGACATTATTTTCTGACTGCTTAAATGACTCGAAAAACCTGTTTCAGTAATCTAAGTAATTTAGCTTTGATCATATGACATAGGATTAAAATCTTTGGGAGAAGGAGGATTGAGCAAAGCCAAGGGTGCATGTCTCATAAATTACAATTTTATGGGTATAATATGCCTCTCAATATTTGGCTAAACTACTTGTTTTATTGTGGACATATTGATCAGACAGGGGGCTTAAAGTACACTGTCGGGGATATAACAATGGGACTCCTTACTCTATGCTGTCCATGGTTTTCCATCCAAACCAGCGAACCGTATGTATTTTCTGACTTATCAGCACTCTTGTACTTGATCGTCATAGTATAGCTCTGCTTCTCATACCGTCTCTTAAACACCAATGTTCTCGGGTACACCCTCACTTGAGCTCCCTTAGGTGCGGTTATCAGTGCCTTGTATGTTGTCATACCATATCTTCCTACATTCGTTACAGTCCTATGAAAAGTTGTAGTAGCAGTTTTTGTGTTGTTTTCATAGTAAGCAATGAAGGATGGGTAATTGAGGTCATTTGATGGGGTTGAGCAGTGGTGTTTGTTTGATCTTACTATGCTCATCATTTGGTTTCTTGTAAAATTCATTGAACAAAGGAGGTTTACGTAGTCTTGTGGTGCCAAGTCGTAGACAAGCCCTGGGTCAAGTGCACGGTTAGGATCAATCTGACCTGATCCCATGGCTAATGGGGAAGCAGGTGCAAGGTTGAAACCATTGTCCTTGATAGCACTGCGAGTGTTATCAAGCGGGTCTGCTGTTGTCATAATTGCAGACCTGATAGCAGCAGGGGTCCAATCTGGGTGTGCTGCCTTCAGAAGGGCGGCCACTCCTGAAGCGTGTGGACACGCCATTGATGTTCCTGAGATCAGAGCATAGTCATTTGACAGTACTATGTTATCACCAATCCTAGCAACCTCAATGTTCGGAACATAAGCTGCTAGTATCTGTGTTCCGGGGGCCATGACATCCGGCTTCAGTACACTCTGACAATTCCTAGACGGTCCCCTAGAGGTGTAAGACGCGGCAACTGGTGCAGGCTTCAACCCAACAAACGTCTGCTGGAATTGCATGCTCACCCAAGAACTATTCTTGTGTGATTTCGCGTATGTTATAATGGTTCGGCCCTCCTTGGGACCGACGACAATCCCAGGCCATGAGACTTCCCCTGCCTCATAAATCAGAGGATCTTTGGAGATGAATATTGCACCAGCTACTTTAGAGTTAGAAACTTGGTAAATTTGATTAAATACCATACCAGATTTACCAGTATCTTCACAAATGACTATTTCATTAGTAGCTACTTTTGTCAAGTAATCAGAAGAGTTGCACATTGCTAGTTTTTGCTCGTATCGCAACAAGACCTTTTGAATGACAGCACTAGCCGGGAATAAGGTCCAGCCTACGATTTCCCGGCCATTTCCGAGCAACAAAGTCCCGGAAAATTGTCTGTCAACGTTGCTTGCAGCAACTGTCATGGACCAGGGAATGTCGTTGTGGACAGAACCATACGCCGGGCCTTTATTTCCTGCTGAAGAGGACACTAACACGCCTCGCTCCATCGCAGCAAACGAGCCTATTGCAACAGGATTTTTGTAAAGGGGGAGCTCATGGAATCCTAGTGATATGGATATGACATCAACACCGTCTGCAATGGCTTGGTCCATGGCAGCAAGCATGTCCGAGGTGAGGCAAAGGCCGTCATCCCATACCACCTTATAGATAGCCACTCTAGCGCGAGGAGCCACCCCTCTAGCTGTACCTCTTGCATAGCCGAAGAAGGACACATCATCAACGTAGTTTCCTACGGCTGTTGACGAGGTATGGGTGCCATGACCGTCGTTGTCCCTAGCCGAGTTCACCTTGGGCTTAAGCTTAGGGTTCGAGGCTATAACACCCTTGTTAAAGTATCTAGCCCCTATCAACTTGTTATTACACATGGACGTGTTAAAATTTTGTCCTCCCTCACACGCACCCTCCCACCTGGATGACACTGGGGTCATCCCGGCATCATTAAAGCTCCGACTCTCAGGCCAAACCCCGGTGTCTATGACCCCAACAATAACGTCGTGGCCATAGTTTGAGGCCGGCCAAAGACCGGTACGTGAGTTGAGTGAAAGAAAGTCAATAGTCCTAGTGGTGTCAAGTGTAGCTCTAGCCTCTTCATAAGCTATTACAAAAGCCGGATGTTTTTCAAGCTTTTGAAGCTCATTTTGAGACAAAAATGCACTAAACCCATGTAAGGCATTATCATAACTATAAAGGACACTAGGTGAACTATAAGAAGTGGGTGAGTCATAGCCATGGGGTGTCACGGCCGAGGCGAGGGACTCGACGGTGGAGGTGTACCAATGATGGTGGCTAGTGAAAACATTAGGCATGAGGGACTTATTCATGTGGATGATGTAAGTTGATCTTTGGTGAGTTTCTCCATTAGAAGAGTGGATAAGTTGACTTATTAGTAAGAAAATAATAATGTTTAGAGAAGACATTAGTCTATTGAAAATATACATGAATTTTTATGATATACTATATGATATGGAAAGGATATAATGCAAATATTAAATTTTTGGTTGGTTTATATAGATTGTTGGGAGGAAATAAAGAGTTTATAGTCAAATGGGGTCAATACTTTTTTAATTATAAAGTAATTAATCATATTATTAATGACATAAATGGGACATATTTTTGCAAATATGATGTAAGACGAAATAAAGGTCATATATGGAGTTGTAAGTTTTCCACATAAATGATACATCAAGCCAGCAAGGTGGACACTTTCTTGGAGTAAATTATAGCACTACTTTATAGAAATTAAAAATTCTTAATGATATTGATTTTTCAGGTGATTTCAATGAGATCATTGAGGAAAGTGAATTACTATTTTAATCATTTTTTTTTTGGTGGTACAGTTAATGTTTTTAATAGGAATCGAGCTTTGAGATGTCATACTCGCTTTGATATGTTATTATAAAGTTGCAACAGTTTGACTTTTATACGATTTATATATTCACTTTATCACATTTTATACGATTTATATATTCACTTTATTACATTTATGGTCATAATTGACCATTATCAAATGTGATGATAATTATATTGTTATAAATTTTGTAAATACAAATGAAGTATTACATATAATATCTGAAAATTCCAAGTTTATTATTAAAAAAAAACAAAAAAAGAAAATTCAAGTTTACTTATTACTTTTAAACTTATCTTATTTTCTTAGCTAAGCATTCTAATTTTTGGTAAATTTGACAATAATAGTCACTTTAATATAAGATCCATTATTTGAGACAATTTTTTGCCATTGTAATTTCAAAACATAAGGATAGGATCCTCATGGTGTATATATAAAAATTTATGATGTGTGAATGCCAATCAATTATCTTAATTACCTAGTTAGAATATTCAGAGGTGTTATTCATGATATATTATCGAATCCCGGCCCATCGATCTACATCAGACGTGATATGTCTTTTAATTTTATGACTACACATTGTAATTTATAATATGAAAAATGAAGATGAAGATAAATAATAATCATATAATAATCTGTTAGAGATATAAGATAAAATCAATATAAAAAAATTATATATTATTCAATGAATACATTTTAGGACTTATGATTATGGTGGTATATGTTTTAAAATTTATGACGATAGCAATATTCATAAATCTTAAAGATATACTACCATAATCATAAATCCTATAAATTAAATAATATCTTATCATAAATAGTAACACTAACTATATTATTCTCTTAATAATATCAAAAATGTATCACACATATATTATTTATGAATTTTACTTCGTAAAAGATATGATTATGGTAACATATATTAAGATTTATGATGATTATCATCTTCATGATAAATTTTTTATATTAAGATATTATTTACTAAATATCTTTAGTGAATATATCTTTATTTAATTTAAAGATGATTATAGCAAATGCAAGAATCGTGCCTTATGATAAATAAAATAAATGAAATTGTGCTAATTATGGTAGTATACCATGAATTTAACTTTGTATTACCAACCCACTTAGTTATGGTATGATAATAGTAATAGAGGACCACTAAACAACTTATCAGCTGTTTCTGGAAGTTCACATTTTCACCAAAAATCTAACAATGGCTTAATTAAAAGTATGTTACTTTCACATTGCAATTCTATATAAATATAAAAAAAAAAAATAGACTTTTTTTTTTGAAGTAAAAAAAAAATAATAATAATAATAAAAAATAGACTTATATTGGTCCAAGTTTGAAAATCTTAATCAAATGTGTTTACTAGTCTGCATAGTGTGTATATATAATATATAATAACTAGTTTAGGCCTCGTGCAATGCAAGTGCAATACACGGATTTATAATAATAAGATTTATTAATAATAATATAGTACTTTAAAATGGAGTTAATTGAAATTAAATGACCTATGTAATCTAATATCTACCTTTAAATTCTTATGTCTTATTTGTATGAAAACTTTTTTGTGTATAACTTTGTTTTAATTTTTCTTACAAAACTTATAACTAAGGTCATGTTCAGTTTATCTTATATGAAACTATTTTAAATTAAATATAAAATTTATTTTCTTACAGAAATTAAAATAAAATGAAGCAAGCAGACCGAGTGGTAGTAAAATTCCTATTGGAGACTATATCGATTGTGCCCATTGTTTAAGTAGTACAATACTTTTTCTTCTCCCAAATACTCACAATGATAACAAATGACAATTTGATACTTTGCATACTTTAGATGAGACAATAGGGGTGGTTATGAGCATGTGTAAGGTGAGCAATTGATATGTGTATTTCATTTTTTTTAAAGGATTACAAGGAAAAAAGGATTTTATTAATAAAAGATAGTCAAGCGACACTTACCAAAAATATAAAATTCTAATATAAGTAGATAACACCTTATAACTAATTAATCGTTGATTTGATTAACGAGCACCTTAAAATATATATATAAAAAATCATCTGAAGCAATACAATTTATAAATTAGCACTAACTCGGCTTGAAATCCATAAGTGCATATATATCTATTTGGATGAAAATAATCATATTAAAAGCAATAAAAAATTGTTGTAGGGGTTTATCACCGGTAAGAACACCAGTGGAACCCCCTATAAAGATTTAAGAATAAAAGAGATGAATGAGAAAAGGGAAGGGAAAACTTTTTTTAAAAAAAAAAAAAAAATCTAGCAAACGGCTAGAAAAAAACCCTCAGCTCCCAAGAGGGAAATTAAACCTAACAAAGTCCTATCGTTGATAATGATTTAATCTTTAAACTTTATCATATACTCTAGTAAATTTTTTGTACATAGAAATCCTGTATGAATTGAACTAAGGGCTCACTTTTACGGGATTGCACCGATCCAACCATCGTTAATATTAGTATTTGTAACACCGTTTCTAGACATAGGATATCGAATACAGTCTATTTAGCACACTTAGGTTGAAATAATTATTACAAGTCTAACCTTTTAAATTTGCATTACTTATATGTAGGGTTTTACTCTTTTAATTTGATGGCACTAGTGTAGTGGCCCATGAAGAAGATTTGAGAGAAGGCTTAATATGTCAAGTTTTGAGTGCTCCAAAGTTAATACTCCAATATTGATCAGTATTATCACGGTTTTAAATGCTTGCTGATCTAAATATAATGGAGGTTGTTTTCAATTGAAAATATTAGCAAATGTCATTCTAAATTAACCAATAAAATAAATCTAATATATGCAATAAAGCCAATAACTATTAACACACAATAAAAAGGTTTTTATCACTAAATAAAAAGAATTTTTGACACCCTTTGAGAAGTCCAAATCATGATTATTACCTACATAGATTCTGGCTACACATGAATACTAAAATTATAGTATAATTTATTTATTGTTATTATTACTAGGAGTCAAATATTCTTTGGAGTTCATGAGGAGGTATGTATGTACAAGCAATGTTAATATTAATAATGTACTTTATTTCACATTTGAGTTTATTGTTTATGTTGAGTCTATGGACGTGGTTCGACTTGGAGGAGTGTTTAGAGAAGAGAACGGCCATGGGTTTGATAGCACGATCATTTAGGTTTAGAACCATATATATATATGGTCTATTAAGTCGAAGATATACTTTTATGTGTAATTCTCGTATCAATTCAGTTAGAGGTTAAATAAACCTAAAAGAGAGCTAGTATTCGTGTTTAGGGGCTTAGATGGAGAGATTTTGAGAGCCTATATATCACCATCTCACACATTAATTAAAGTCCTAGTACATATTTCACAGTCTGTATTCATTTCTGGTAAAAAAAGGTTTTCCACATAAAATTCCCGTGTTCTTTGTTGTTTGTTATGTATATTATATTATTTCCGCTTTTTAATATGCACAATGGGTGAGCAACAAATTTTTCTAAGAGTTTAATTTACTGAATGACTCAATAATAAGTTTTCCAATTATCTTATTACATTATATGAAAGTACTATGTTATAAGATTTATATATAGTCACCATACCAATTGTAAATTAATTAAAAACTTCTTTTTAACAATTAAATTTGAAGAAAGATAAGTAGTAATTTGAATCTAAATAATCTCTTCATCTTAAATAATTAATCAAGTTCACTTTTAGCTTGGGTTAAAGGAATTGTCATGAATTGAACTCATTATGATTTGGAAGGTGATTTGATGTGTTTGAGACAAAAAACTCTAAGACATATCTCATCAACATCAATCAGTTGCTGGACTATCTTGGCACTCACTTGCCAGTGTCCACAAATTTTTTTCAATTTGTCTCACACTAATTACCTAATGTATCGTCTTCTACTACATACTATTAAATGATGATAATGATAATAAATTTATAAGTATCTATCTATGTTCATAATGCCAAATCCGTGGATTGAATTTTCTTCCCAAAATTCCACATTTTGAAAGGGATCGACGATGTTAACAAAGTATTAATGAAAAAAAAAATTATATATTTGGATAATTGTATCGAAGAATTTTCTAAGTTATGATCATTAGCATAATACTATTATACGGAGTAACAATACTTCATAATTCATAGTGATATGTATTTATTACCGTCTATTAAATGAGTTTTAACTTTTAGGCTTTTAGCCTACAATTCACTTGATATCAGACGTTATAAAAGGAGCATGACACATGAGTTTCAAACTACAGTTGTCTATAACTCTATAGTAGTGCGCTGCACTGGCATTTAGGATTTTAGGAGCTACGACAAAGGGGTAAAACATTGTACTTTACACTAGTAAAGCTGAAAAGGCTGGGCTTAACAAGCAATATTCATGCCATAAGGGTAGACCATAGAAACAATTACAACCAAAGAAACCACAATCACCTCAGCATGGACTATTACACTGAAGGAAAAGTCGCGAAGAGAAAATGATTTATACGAGATTAGATCCTCATAGAGTATAAAATTTATTTTTGAGCTTCAACCATCATCTTAAGTTTTTGGTTGTGTTGGTCCACGGACATGGTATTAGAGTCAGCGTGACATAAAGATCACGGTTTCAGATCTTATTCATCCCTCACTTTCAAGTGTAATATTAAACGCCGAGTATGAGAAGGGTCTATGCTGCATCCACATTTCAAGTCCAACAAATTCTCTACATCCACACGACTTGACTTATTATTGAATATTGATCCATCATGATATATTTATTAATAATAGACTCTAATCACCTAAGGCTCAGCTCGAGCTCGTTGCAACCAAATTAAATAATTTATTTTTTACTTTTTTATTTATCTCTATGACATAGGACTTAAACCAATAGCTGAATCAAATGTGATCTGATCCGAACAACTCAGCTGCTACCTCATCATGATGTCCATGTACCACAAAGTACTAATAAATTGTCAACTCCACTCTTAGAAATCCACCTATGAGGTTGAGAATTAGAGATAAAGGAAGAGGAAGGGGTTTAGACAAGTAAGTGGAAAGAAGCAAGCTAGAGGCCATTTGTGAAAGCAATAAAAAAAAAAACAAAAAAGCAGTGCATGAACATCCACTTTTTCATTAACATGATGTAAAGATTTGAGTGCAACCATCGTGGGAAACAATAGTAGAATAGGGGTGCACCACTCTAATTTAAAGCCATTTACTTTTCAGTATTAGTTTCCACTTCATTAGTTGGTTCTTCATCACCTAATATCTCTCTCTTTCTTTTCTTTTCTTTTCTTTTTTTTATTTATTTATATTTATTTATTTATTTATTTAATGCTCCATTTTTTTGAATAAAAAGTCAGCGACCTTTAGTGGAGTAAATTAATCCAAATATCCCAATGTATGCAAATCATCATATTTTTATAAGTACAAGTAATTCGGTTGACAAATCAAAACTAGTAAAAGACTATAAACTAACCTTCCCATTAAAAAAAAAAAAATAAAAAAAAAAAAAAATGATCCAATCCAAATTAACATCATGAGTTATCTATGTTCGATTTGAACAACATGTTCGCCACGTCTAATAGTATCTCGACATTGCAATTGTTAACCATTACATACCCTAAGTAAATTTTTTCGATCATTAATGTTATATTTAGACTCATATGCCTCATCTATCTAAAGTATCATTTAAATAAACTACTTGTATATTATAATGTCTAAATAGAGTTGGTATCTTTTCTATATAGTAATAATTACAATTTATATATAATGACTGGTTTACTCTTGAAAAATTACCCTTGAAAATTGATGGGAAAATGATAAAGTTGACACGGCTAGTCGACTATTATATAGCATTGTACCTAGCTAAATATTTCATACCAAAAAGTCGTGACTTTTGAGACTATATAAAGTCTAAAATACCTTTTCAAAAATTCTAGGGTAAATTGTTTTAACTTATATGGGAGCTGGTGTAGTGGTATGTACATAAAAATTTACAATATCAACCTTACTCCTCTATGATACCCCTCAATAGATGTTTGACATGATCATTAATTAATACGGAGTATGTAGATAGATTGTTTTTCAAATAAGTCAATTGTAAATTCAGTTTGAATATTTTGAAAAACAAGATTATCTTTAATTTTTGGGTGCAAGAAAGAATATAATAACTTTATAATTATATAAATTAACACATATATTGACAAAATAATAGTAAAAACTTAACATAGAGAACTTAGTGGTTTCAAATCACAAGGATCATGGCCAATAAAATCATAATTAGCAAAGTTAATAATCATGTAATTAGTATAGTATACCTACTTGTAGTTGACTTATTTTTGCATAGAATTATAAAACTATAAATCAAATTGTTTCAACAGAGCCAATAGATCAGAGTCCTACATTCATGGAGTAAAAGCATGATACATTGGTATTCATTGTTGTTGGTCCTACTATTTTATTTTTTTCTTGATACAGCATACAGGTTAGCCTAATGGTCACTTTGGGAATAACTAAGATCAAGCTTGTGCACACCCATGATTTGTGATGTTGCACAGTGCTTTTTAAGCAACACTTCATCACATAAGCATCTCAATTACTTTTATGTGTGTAGTGTGTACGGCATTATGACCCAACACATCTTATTAAAGATGCTTCTATCTAGTCATTTTCTAGCAGTGATATATACTAATTAAACTGACTGTTACAATTTTAAGAATACTCTGGTAGAAGCCAAGTAGAAACCCTTCATTTTAAAACTTCAACTAACTTCTTTTGGCATGTGTGATGCATGAGCTATTTTAACTAAAATCTACAGAAGAATTTCCACACGAATTTCACACAAATAATACTTGTAATCATTGATTTATTCATCATCAATACTACATCATAGTGGTAGGGTGAGTTTTTCTCTTGCTTCTCATATTTATTCATCGCACAACAATATTTTTCTCTGTCTAAACTTATGCAAACAACTACTTCGAAAACTTTTCTTTCCTTGAGTCAAATAAACAATAGATTTATTCACTGTACATCATTATTAATTTTAATTTTCCCAATCTAAACGTATACAATCTTTCTTATACACAATGATAGATTTGATACGAAGAAAACACTCAAAAGTAATTGCACAATAAACCCTCAATCAGTTATAAAAATTAAACATTCAATTTTTAAAAACTTAAAAAATTGAAATTGACCCCACACATGACAACATTAGAAAAATTCAATTCAATTAAAAAAAAAAAAAAAAAAAAAAAAAAAAAAAAAAAAAAAAAAAAACCCCACAAAATAAAGTTTTTAATTAGGATTTAGCACCATTATTTGAAGGGTACCCAATACCATGCCTTGTGCTAGGAAACATAGCAAAAATACCACTACAAAGACCACCAACAACCGGAGGCAACACCATGAGCATAGTCTTCCGAGTAGTCTCCAATGCCGGCATGTAACAATCCACCGTGTTCTTGTCCAAACCCGCCACGACAACAAACACGAAAACCGACGTGACAGCATGTACAAAATCCCCTGCCCTTAGCTTATACTTGGACATATCAACGTTACTAGACCGACTAGTAGGCCAAAACCCCGTGCGTGTGGCTATCCCATAGTGTACGTTCCCCTCGTCGTCGACATAGCTATCGGTGAACGTTGAAAATGCACAATTAAACCCACAAATTGCTAGAAAAACACCCATTATGTACTTGTTTATGGTGTGACATTGACCATTGTTGCTTAAAATTGGACTTAAAAATTGGAACATGAAAACTGTTCCTGTTGGTAGTAATTTTAGTAGGCTTCCTAACCCATTAAAAGCTTGATCTTTTAATGATTTTTTTGCCATTTTTATGAATTATAAATTTGATGTTATTTTTTTGATGATTTTATTGAATGGAAAAAGTTGTTTATATAGATTAAGGTTTTTGTTTTTGTGAGAAAGAGTTGCTTCCAAGAAATTCATTTAGTTCAGTTAAAACTTTAAGTTTAAAAGTATAGTTTTGCGTGTAATTAACTTGAAAATAAAGTAAGCTGACAGTTTTAGCATAATTTCATAAATTCCAGCAAAGTATGTAACTAAAATTTCATTTATAGTTTGTGACATACATACAAGACGTACATAATTTGTTTTATGAATGTGGATAGAGTTAGTTTGAATTTGCTTGTATTCTTTCGGTTATGTAATGTAATTCTAGGCCATACATATGGTCTATTTTTAAGTCATCAAATAATAAAACGACATCTATAGAATTAAGGGGTGCGTTCTATTCACCTGATTTTTTTTTTTTTTAATCAGTCAAAACTTAATTATTTGATCCTATTTAAAGTTATTAGATCTTATTTTAGTTGTAAAATTGAAGCTAAGTAACCCTTATCAGAAAAATGGTTATAAAATATTACAAGTAACTCGATTTCTTAAAAATAACGCATAATTAAATACCATAACTTGAATTTGTTTAGACATCATGGAGATATAACCGAATTAATTTCGAAAGGATATGCATTAGTTGTTGAGCTTTATGATGATATTATGTCTAATTGTATGAGTGTATTAAGACAGTTGATCGTTACGTCTAGTTGTATAACCTAGAAAAAGGTTCTTTAAAGTTGGAAGTATGTTGCACGAAATGACATAAACAAGATTGTGATTGTTAGCGAAGTTGTCTCAAAAATTAAAAGGCAACAGCAAACTGTTAGAGGATAACGCAACAAATACTAAAACCAAAGCTAATATTTACTTTATGTATTTGTGTGTTGTTTATGATAAATTTATAGTCATTTATCAACAATAACAAAAACTTAAATTGTACTCTATTATGGATTTATGGTTTATGTATTTGTGTGTTGTTTATGATAAATTTATAGTCATTTATCAACAATAACAAAAACTTAATTTGTACTCTATTATGGATTTATGGTTAATTGGTTATACACGGCCGAAAGCGGCCATAAACATAACGTAAGAAATTATTCAATTGTTGTACTCCATATAAAATATTTTCTTGTTCTTTTTTACTTGACATATTTCTTTTATCACGCTTGTCAATGCAAAACTTTACCAATTAATAACTTTTATTCTTTAATCATCAAAGGAGGAGTGATGAATAATGTAAAACTCAAAGCGAGTTTAGTAAAAAAAGAACGAAGGAAGTAGGAGTTTGCCACATTAGTATGCAACATCTTGGTATGGGTTGTAAAATTTGTGATGGCAAGTTGGCGATGAATAGACTAGCATGTTGATCATGACCGGCGTGCTTCCTAGAAGCATTTTCTTTGTCTTGAGTTTACAGATTGTTGTTGTCGACCTGGGGGGAGCCGGGGAGGTTTCGAGGATGGCTGGCTTTGCATGTTAGCCCTATCATGACTCAAAGTATATAAATCATCGCAATAGATTGGCAATAAAACAGTGTAAGGGTGAAAAAAGGGATGATAGACTTGTCATTCATATTCTCATGGTATGTAAAGATCTTCATAAAAGATAAATTACATACACATTCATCTTTCTAATCTATCTAATTTTTGTTTTTTTGGCACAAGAGCCGACATTCAAGCTGTAAGCTTACATATAGAGCTTCAAAATCCACACTTAAATGATGGCAAACATGATGCATATGTTAGTTTTTTTAAGACCTCAGATCCAAAGGCTCCCAAAAGCTTCTTCAAGTGCCCTTTTCCGGCCAAGTTCTGGACTCCAACCTCCTGCACGTCCACCCTTTTCAGCCCGCAGCTTCATCATTTCTTCATCATCAAGATCGGGGCCCCCAAGGGGTATTGGTTGTGGGGCCATTCCCATCGGTCTTGGTTGCATAAATGCCCCTCCTGCAACTGCAGGTGCATACCCTTGCGCTGTGGTAGATATCCCTGCTTGTGGGTTCTGTTCTGTGGCCTGCTTACACAAACAAAAGATTCAGCTTTGGAAAGATTCTAGTCAAATGGACGCCTCTTAATACCCATGCTAAAAGGGAAATAGAACTTTGCTTTGTGACAAAGATGACGGTGTAAAAATGCAATATGTACTGTTCAAAAAAAAAAAACTTCAATAGCACAAGGCCCTCAAAGCAATATGGGATGTTCTAAAAAATTCCCTATAGTTTAGAGTAATAACTTGAAGAGACCACAGTCCAGTCCAGTCTATTGTGCATAGTCCAACCTTACAAACAGACGAGATTAGATCTCCTATTGCCTAAACTAATTTCAGTACTAAAAGATAATCTGACTAAACTTTGAGTGTGTTAATATTAAAATTAACCTGCAGAGGTGCAGCCTGCCAAACCAACCAGTGAAGTCACTCCAATCCAATACAGGAAAAGGAGAAAAGGGAGAAAAAGAGCTCATCTATAAACGGAAAAAATAAAAACAAATTTAACATGTATCCAATTGCAGATAGTAAATGAACACAAGTATAAAGCCAAGGAAATTTTTATTTTTTTTAAAGAGAAAAATTTAACACCCAAATGAATCAACCCTCTCAATATAACCATTCTACCATCTCTTGAAGTAAGCAAACACAAAGGTATGTTCAGGACAAGGAATGAAATATATATTTGAGAACAAAGGAATTGCTAATTAAGCATTGGCTTCATCATATCAATAGCAATTACCTACCATTGCAGAACCAAGGAAAAGGGGAAACACATAAAAATATGGCTAGTTCTTCCTATATTTGAGCTTGTGAGATTGGCACGCACTCAGAGTAAAAACGACACGCTCAGAGTAAAAACGACGCGCTCAAAGTAAAAACATGTAGTAACTTGAAAGCAGGACAGACATAATTCACATTAATATTGTTGAAGCTCCTAGGAGCAATATGAATTGTTCTCAGAAGATGGTTCTTGAGAATGGAGAGTTGGGACTTGCGTTCCTTTGGTATGATAAGCTTAGGTGCTATTGAAGATCTTTCACTCGCAACTATGCATAACAGACTTTCTACGGCAACCTGATAAAAAGTGGGTTCCCAAATTCCCTGAATGATAGAGGCCTTCAATAGTTCAATTCTCCAATTCATTATCAATAAGTTTTGTCAGGTATATGATTATATCTACTACCAATGAATGTGTAGGGACCCATTAAAGCAATCTATCCTAATTGCTAAAGGTAAGACAGCAAACATATAGCCACACCCCCAGAACCTGCCCTCAACAGGATCTTCAATAGGTGGTGGTTATTTTTAAAGTTGCAGCCATCTGGCTGTGCACTAACAAACTGCAAGCAAATCTACATCTTCTTGACTTAGCCATACAGGACTAGCAAAGGAAATGGATAGAGAAAGTACACCATCCAAGGTAAAGTCTAGCCCATAGTCTGTGGGTTGCAAAAATGAAAAAAGGATTTGAGAAAGCATTACCGTCCAGAATGGCAATCGGTGGATCTAGGAAAAGGCAAGTGGACTGTTCCACTTTTCCTAATTAGACAACCCAACCTATGATTGCTCTTTCTAAAATATTAAAAAAGCCAATTGGAGAATCAAATACATCAACTATCAAGAACAGCTATGTTTTGAGCATGGCTTGCTGATGATCACTAAGATACTGGATCAGTGGTCAAAGCTATACTGGCAGTCAAAGTAACCTACTATTATGTTTTCTATATGCAATATAGATGGATCAAACATATAAAAGGCCCCCCAAAATATTGTGATTGTGTTAGAGAAGCATTCAAGCAAACAGCTTTCAAGTAAAATAAGAATTACTATATTAGATTGGAGACAAATAGCACTTTCGTATTAACAGTAAACAGCACATGGTATTCTTACTGCCCCAAAAAGAATAAAAAGGGAGTGCTTTTAATTTTTTTTTTTAAACTCCATATTGATGATAACATCTTAAAGCTGCCAAGTCCACTTAACATGGCATCTCTTTGTTAATGTAAGCCAACCATTTAGGAAATTCAAATACCTATGTGCTTAAAGACATTTCTAACCCTTCTAGCTTGTTCTTTGCACAATGATGCTAAACTCCAAGAACAACAGTGCATTGCTATCTTTGGGTTCACTTTTTTCACACTAGCATCATTTTTGGCTCCCTCATAAAACTAAAGGTTCTTAAATATAATTAGACCACACCAACTAAGGGAGTAAGGGTTCAACTTATGTATCCAGCTTTGATTGTTGAAATGATAACCACCTTTGAATTTTATTCCAGCCAATAAAAGAAGTAGGTTCAAGCTTAATGTTTGCTACTGAGAATATAGGTTTCCTCTAATATGACACAATGAGGATGCTTTCTTTTATAGCAGACTAAGTAAACAAAAGGCTATGCTGAATCAATTCTGGTTCAGCTGCAGACTAAAGCCAACAGAGTACCTTTCTGGATGATGGCACTGGGCCGCAAGGAAATGGGAACATATTAAAGTGTAGACACTCTCCAAAGACTTAACAGAGGGAAATCTGTCAACAATCTCTCTCCAATTGCATTAATTTGTGTGCAAACAGTAAATTTTAAAATCTTTCATAAACGGAGGTAAATAATAATTAGTCACACAGCTCACACTTATACTAATCAATTTTGTTTTAATGAATGACAGTCACTTTCTTTAGTTTTCATATTCTTAATTTTAGTTTTCAAAGAAGAAAAAAAAAAGATAGCAGGCAAGCCCAACAATTTCTTTCTAATTTTGTGCATCATTAGCCACCGCCAACTTTAACGATTAATTTCAAAATCTAATAAAGTAAAACCAAAAATATTTTTCATGACAACACTTGTAACTAAAGTGCAACTGTTTTGCTTCATTATGGTCCCACAAAACTTGGATAGTTTGAAACCAAGAAAGATCAACCAATGATTAGACCTGCAAAATTAATCAACAATATCCAATTGAAGAGGAAAATAAGTAATCTACCATCTAGAAAAGTTCAATACACTTGAAAGCATCTTAGAAAATCGTATGAGATCTGACAAAAACCAAAATAGACCTAATATGTATAATTTGTTTACCACCCCTGCACTGTGCTAAGGGTTGCCTTTTTCAATTTGATAGATACAGACCTACATATTCTTATAGATTCATACTCACATCTTGGATAACATATGACAGTGTGCAGTACTTCCTATATAAATCAGGCACGGGGCAGTTCCAATTAAATTTGTACAACAACAGATAATCTAATAATCCTTGGGAGTTTCGGTCATGGAAGAGCATTATGACACAATTTAGTCCAAGAAGAGAAAATAAATGGTTAAAACATACCACATCAGCATCAACTTGCGCAGGTCCTTTGCTGGCTGCCAGAGCTGCCGCTAGCTCCTCTGCCTGTGCAAACACAAATGTTCAAAAACGGTAATCCTCCTAAAAAAATAAAAAATAATTTTTTAAACAAAAAAAAAACACTAAAAAGTTTTATCCTATATATAGAGTAGAAATTTTTTGCAAAATGTAACTGATTGGTGATGAGAATATCTTCAAGTTTAGGACAAGTGAAAGCTGTAATACACAATATCTTACATGCCTTACGAGCTCGAGCATTCATTATCTGCTCAGAATTCTCTCGCTCATACTGGGCTATTTTAGCTTCAATGGCAGGAACATCTATTCCTTCAATTAAGTTGCATGCTGTAGCAAAACATTCTTCAACTATTTGAACCTTGTAGACGAAAAGTCTAGATAGAAAAACCAAATCCTAACTGAGGCAATGAACTTACTCATATCCTCCACTTCCTCTAGGTAATCATTGTACTCCTTCAAGGATGGAAAATCTTCTTCTCTCTTATTAAATCTACATTTCACAAGAAATTCAAAATAACACACCTTGTGTAGAAAACAACAATAGCTAATAAAAAAAAAAAAGTATAATTAAATTATAAAATCAAGATACAAGAATCAAAATTGTATAAGTTTGATATACGTTACTGCTGATAGCTACTCTTTGTCATCATCTACATGTTTTAAAAACTATCAAGCCCCAAGACTGCAACCTTGTTTTCCCAATTCTGAAGAAAAAGATTATTCCTTTCGTCCCTTTATATTGGCCACTTTTCAATATTGGAACATTAATGCACTTTCTAGATTCAATTAAGTATGTGTCAAAAAAAATAGATTCAATCAAGTAAACTTCAAACTTTTTAAAAATATCCTTAATACCCTGAAAGAAATGCAAATTCCATGTAATAATGAACCTTGATTAAACCGGCTAGTGATTTAGGGTTGAATAGCTATAATGGTTTGCCTCTCACAAGAACAAGAGAGCCCGAAGTAATCTAGGCATGCTTATATACCAAAGGTGCATAATTCCTATGTCATAGGTTCCACAAACCAAAGTCTCAAATGATTTGGAACGAAATTCATGCCCATCCCAAGCATTTAACAATTCTGAAAACATCTATTCAACTCATCATTCCAAGATCAAATACATGCTACACTTATAACTAATCATGAGGTGCGCCAATTCGAGCCGAAATCAAATAGAATTTGCTGACATTGATACCTTTTGTATGACAATTTTTGCAACTTCACCATAATAGTTGTAAATATCATCCAATTCCAGATTGAATTGCACAATAAATTGCAATTACGAAAGAATTTTAACTTGTGAAACAAATAAGCACATCTAATCTACGCATCATATGAAAAATCCCATGAACCCCATTATAATTGACAATCAGACACGGTGAAATTAAATAATGGGTAATGAAAATTAAAGAACCCCAGAATATCAGATCATCAATAAATTAATTATAGAACAATGGGTAACCCAGAAAAATCAAAATTGCAGAAAACAAATTAACGAATGAAATTAAAGAAAAAGGAGTAAGATAGAAGAGAATGAAAGAGAGAGAAAATACATGCTGATGATTCTCCTGCGAATAGAAACCTCTTTAGCGAAAGCGTTTCCACTTGAGGCAACCACCATTGTTATTGCCTCTTTCCCCCTTTTGCTTCCCCTTAAACCTCTTTGTTTTAAACAAAACTGAATTTTAGTTAATCTAAGATGATTAGAAATTAATAAAGGGAGTTAATTTGATGAATGGTAGGAGAAGGGAGAGATAAAGGTAGAGTTTTGCCACAAGAGTTAAGAGGAGAAGATGAAGGTAATTTTGTATTGATGAACCTATTTTCTGTTCACCAAGGGTATGAAGAGGGGAATGGGACACATGGGAAAGCCTCTATACTCATTAAAGGCTTTCACGATCCTAAGTCGGGATAAAAACATCATACATTCATACGTGCTCTAATTGGAGCAAATATGATTATGACTTTGGCTAATAGTCAGCGGACGGATATGGATATCAAAAGTTATACTCGTTATAGATAGTGGATTTGAAATATTATAATAAATAGTTTCAAGTTTGTATAAGTAAATAGTTGTGTTAAAATCGATGCAATGGCGGATCTAGAAATTTTTTTATAGGCCTGGTTGAAGTTATAAAGAGGGATATGAGTATAAGAAGCCTATACGAAAATAAACCAGGGGAATTGTGAAAATTTTACACTACACCCCGGTGTAGCTTCTGCTACCTACACCCCCCCTCCCCAAGTGACGTCATTTTGCACATATAATATTTTAAAACTGAACATATTTTATTAATAGTTGTAAATGAACATACAATTATTTATAATTGAACATTTAATTAAGGAGCACTATTATGGATGAAAAATGTATAAAATTTATAATTTTGTACTTGTTATTGAAATTTTTTGAAGGTAGCACACACTCCTTATTGTAATTGTAAGAATCATTTCCATGAAAACTACAACATAGCACACACTCTTATTGAAATTCCTATTAAATTTGTTAAAATAACTAATTCATGATATAATTGGGTGCTTTAATTAGTAGTATAAAAATGAACTTTTAAGTATATGCACATATTCATTTTAAATTAATGCATTTACTTGTTGATCATGAATAAGAACGAAAATGAACATTTATCAATACGTAAATTAACATTTATATATATTGAAAAATGAACATTTATCAATACGTAAATTAACATTTATCATCTATTAAAATGTGAATGACGTTATACTAACATATAAATGAACATTTATCAAAATGAAAATGAACATTTATAAAAAAAAAAAAGAAATAATAATAATAATAATAAAAATAACTGGGAACTATAATCTTTGTTTCTCTTCTCTGAAACGGTTTCCTTCGCTCTGCAAACAAAACTGAAGAATGTACAGATATAATTTATTAGTTCTTCAATAAAAATTGCTAAGATTATAGTATAATACTTACATTGATTTACATTACTATATATGTAAATGAACATTATGAATTTCATATATGATCAAAAGATTTCATAGTATGCATAAGTCAATTTCTCAACTCACATGAATGAATATTTATGCATTTCATAAATGTGCATAATGTATCATAAAAATGAACATTTTTTTATTTTGGCATATAAAGTCAAATATAAACTCAAATAGATTCAAATATACAAATGAACATTTATAATTCAGTATATGTTCATATATTACCTCGGAATTGTAGAAATGTTAACATCTATACCAGAAGTTTTAATATCTTTTAAAAGTTCTTGATCTACAATAGGAGATTTTTACAATGACTGTGTAGTAATATATAAATAAATATTTATATTAATCATTTATTAACATGTGAATGATTGTTTACTAATATATAAATGAACATTTATAATTTTTTTTTAAAAAAAATAACCACTACGAACTAATTTAATTAATGCTTACTTTTCTCCAGATTTTTTTTTGATGTTCTTCTCCGAAGCTATTTCCTTCATACTGCAATAAAAAAAATGAAATACTTCATACTCAAAATTCAAATGTACTTGTTCAAATTACTAGTTTTAAAACTAAAAATAGTAAATGTTCCTGTAACATAATTGCAACAATAAATTATAAAAATTAGGGTTTATACTCTTTTTCGAATTAAATATGAACAAAATCACTTACTCCTTTGAATTTCGACCTTGATTTGTTGAATTATGTAGCAGTTGAACAACTTTTTTGGATAATTTGTCGCAAAGTTTGTTGAAAATTTTGGATTAGAAAATGCTGAAAATGGGTGTAGAGAGAGAAAATGCAGAAAATGGGTGAGGAGAGAGAAAGTGAAAAAAGATAAATGGTGGTTTGATTTTTACTGTACAATTGCAGAAAGTGGGTATATGAGGGAGATTGTTAAACACATCGTTAAGAGGGGGGGTGTAGGGTGTGGTACCTACACTAGGGTCTAGTGTATACCAATTAGGGGAATTGATCCCTTGGGCCTTGACCTTTCAAATCTATGCAACAAGTAAATAACCAACTGATGCATTAGGAATTCCACTATAAAACTTGAATATTTGTACAAGATTTCTTATTTATATAATATCAAAAATCTAGGTCCCTTGGATCCGCCTATGAATAGACGGATAGTGGATATTCACTTAGGTGGTAGATCAGACGTGAATTTAGATTTATACACACTTAGAAAAGTGTGGATGTTGAATACATATTCGCCATGTGTAGTGGCATAAGGTAAAAGGTATTTGCACTTGTAAGCTGCAACTCATATTTGTTATCTAGGATAAATATACTTATGTTATATACATAATTCATTTTTTATATGGAAGAGACTAATCGAGCTTATTCACAAACTTATTCAAGCCGAGCTTGGCATAAGTCGGCTCGATTTGTGAAGAGGTCTTGAACCAAACTTAAACCTGAGCCGAACCATCACGAATCAAGTTTTGACCAAGTCGAGCTCAAATTGTTCACAAACAAGCCAGACTTGCGCTAAACTCACTCGCGAGTGCTCAAAGCTAAAACCCTGACATAAACCCTTCAAATTAAATTACCATCAATCATAAAATTGCCAGTAAAATCTTGCTTTTCTTATCACTTTTTTTTGCTTTGTTTCCAACATCCTTATTCTCTCTCCATAATTGCTCTTGCTCCAGTTTAATGCCATAAAAATGGCTAATTTATCAACTAACTGGGTTTTTCAAGGTTAGTTCCAACAATCCTTAAATTTATAAATTTATCTATATTCTGTCTCATACATTATTTTTTGTAATTTCTGGAATTGGGTTTTTTTTGGGTGGCAGATAGAGGATTGAGGTGTTTGATTCCATGTGATGGATCATTTCTCAAGGTAATGTCTCAATTTACTTGATTATTGGGTTTGTAAATTATCCTCAATTTCCATTTCAATGAGTTATCTATGAATTTTTATCAATTCTATGGGTTTTTCTTTTTATGTATTGTACCAGTTTAAAGGGAAATTCTTTGATACTATTGTAGAGCGGAAAAGTTTAATGCTACTTTGTATTTAGTCTGTTATATGATTGAAAAACATGAATGCTGATGTTGGAAAATTTATCATATAGCAATAAGCATACTGGTTAATTTTTTTTAGGAAAGTATACTGATTAATTTTGTGTACTGATAAATTAAGTGAATTTCGGCTTTGTGTCTTTGAAACACACCCGGTAACCCGGCAGGCCGGAGGTGTTGTGTATAAGTCCTTGATTGAGATAATAATGCTATTTAGTGAAGATGGGCTGACATTGGCACATTTGCTTATCTTAGCTATTGACTTTAGCTGTTTGGCATGGAGCTTTAGAGGTAAAATCAGGCATGTTTTTTGTCATTTGTCTGCTCGAGCTGTGTCATAAACTCTTTGTCATGGTTTGTTTATTGAATCTTTAAATTCTTGTAGATAAAAATGAAAATGTACCCTTAGTAGAGATATAGCGTAACAGGTAGAGTTTATACATCACATCTATGTTATTTGTACCATTAAGCCTTGTAGAAAGGTGGCTTGGAATAGTGGAATTACTGTAAATGTAAGTAATTATTAAGGAAGGTGTGGGACTGGTCATGGGAGGAGATCTGTTATAATCATTGCTTTATTTTAACCCTAAAAAATAAAAAGTAAAATAACACTTGTTTAGGCTCTTGTTTGATTTTGTCATCGAAGTGTTCTTGAAATCGCATATTGTGTGGTTGACTTTTGTATCCATCTTGCAAGATGATAGGACTTTCTTTGCCATCTAATCGTATCAGTTAGCAATAGAAAGTGAAGTGTACATCAATTAGTTCCCTTATCTTGGATTGTTGATATGTACCAAATTTCTTATGCATGTAGGCCTCATTTGTTGCTTCATCTTCCAATACAATGTTACCTAATAGAGGGAAGCTCCATCTTCCATCAGTTAGGTCTCGGTCACACATTATAAAAAGTAAAAAGGAGGACGAATCCTTTGAGGAAGTATCTGTTGAACGTGCCCCATATCACAGTTATTTAGACTCAACGTCGGGGAGGATTGAACCTGCCTCTGGTGCACGTGCAAGTATTCCAGGACAGGATTACTGGCCTGAAGGCACTGTTGATCGAGTCAGGGCTGCCAGAGCTCCAGAACCAAAAGGAGAGTCAACAAGTGCTTCATCCTTTGGGAAGAGGCCTGGAAGCAGACGTAAAAACTACAAAGGATCTGTTTCTTTTGCTGGCTCTCAGGAAACAAGTCCAGTCACTTCTGACCTTGCCATAACAGAGGTTTCAGATGATGATTCTAAAGATGATTCTTCAGAATATGTTATCTACCAATCAGATCTTGAAAGTGAGGAGCTAAGTGAATATGAGCTGGACAAAAAATTTGGACGACCTCATCCCTTTGTTGATCCAAAAGTGAAAAAGCCAATAGAAAAGCCACTTACAAGTGATGAACTTTGGTGGAATTGGAGAAAGCCTGACAAGGAGCAATGGTCTAGATGGCAAAGGAGGAAACCAGATGTTGAAACGGTTAGTGGAAAATAATAGGCTAGCTTGTATATATTACTCTCCCTTCCAAAATTGGAGGTCAAATTCTTGATTTTTTTTGTTAAACTGCCTTAGATTTGACTTCTTTTTCTGACTAAAAAATTATGATTTTTGAATTATAAATAGAATATTTAGTACCTTCAGGATGAATATTTCCAAACCATGGTTACAATGCTTGTACTATCGAACTTAGTTGATAAATTATGGTCAAATTTCCCTTTGACTTTGTCTTTTTTACTAAGACCCGTACTTTGGAGGAGGAAGTAGATTTTAAGTTGATTGCCTTTCTTCTTTTGGTGACAAGTCCTATCAGTCTGTCACTCCTATGTTTGATCTGTGCTTGGTCCCCAAGAGTGTAACATCAGCGGTTTTAATTCCAATTGATGAACAGCTGAATTTACACTTGTTAGTGCCCTAGATACCTAATGTGCTCTTGGTGCTTGTTAGGTTTTCCTCAAAGCTATGGCTGAGACTGGACAGGTGAAGCTTTATGGTGAAGAACCAACACTAACAGAGACATCACTCTACAGAGCAAGACGCCATCTTTTTAAAGAGGAAAGGTACCATGGTAGCATATATATAGATTCTTGATTCCTTGATATTTTTTTCCAATGTCGGGGGTATATAATGATAATAGTTCCATTCATTTAATTCTTCATGCATTATAGTGTTGTATCTTTGTGTGTAGATCACAATGGTGGAGGGACATTGGATACTTTTTATATTTATTAAATCATCCTAAATATATTTTACAGCTTCATGGAAGATGTGATACATATAATTCTATATGTGCATTAATTGAACCCCATGTTCAACTTGTATTAGGTCATTCTTATTTTGCTGCTTAAGATTCTACAGACATGCAATGTGTCATTAATGGCTTTTGTGATCTTATAACATTTAAGACATTGAGTTTCCTTATAAGGGCGGGCATTAATGCATTTTTGAAGGCTAAGAAGAGTATTGTGCCAAAATCTTGTTTTGCTTTGCTGCATGGGTCTAGCTAGAATCAGTATATTTGTTTTTGTCTGTCAATGTTTATATATGAGAAGTTGCACGCCTTTTTTTTTGGTTTTCGCTGCTCTCTGAGTCTCTTCGCTTACTTGAAGCAAGAAATTTGACACAAATTAGTGTTTTGTATTTGTAATCTGACATGCTTTGAGACGATTTTTATTTTTATTATATTTCAAATGGTTTTAATTAATGTTTGGGACAGGCTAAATGCTGAACAAGAGAGATTGCAGAGGATAGGCCCCATGGCATATTACTCTGAATGGGTTAAAGCGTGGAAGAGAGATACTTCACGTGAAGCTATTCAGAAACATTTTGAAGAGACCGGTGAAGATGAGAATACACAACTTATTGAAATGTTCTGTCATCAGACAGATAGAGAATATCGCATAATGATGGGGACTGATGTCCGAATACGCAGGGATCCTTTGGCTATGCGCATGCGCGAGGATCAAATAAAGCAAAGTATGTCTTCAAAGACTAATCTTCTAGTTCTGAAGAAATTCAATCTCTTCATGATTGCTTGTTGTTTCAATTTGAGGGTTTTTATAGAGTTGCTTTATATAGTTTGATATTTTGCTAGCCTGGTGAAGCATAGAGCTGATGCAAAGTTGTCCTGTAGTCAGTAATGTTACAAACTAGAGGCTTTGTGTTTTTCTTATCGTCATTACTTGGATGCCAATCACTATACTTTTAATAAAATATGACTGTAGTCCTGAGATATTGTGTCATTCATTGGATATTAAATGATATGGTTTCCAACTATGGATATTTCTTAATATAAGACATAGTGTAAAAGGACAAACTGTTACTGTATGGATTTTCATCATTTCCCTTTTAGGAACGTGTTATTCTTGGAATGGCTGAAGAGCCTTTTGGAAGGCAAATTTTTTTGTAGAAAGAAGTATGAGATACTACCTCCGTTTCTTTTTGGTGACACGTTTTGACTTTAGTTAGCACTATTCACAATTTCACACACTTCCTTTTGACCATATTTTGTGATTTGTATGTAATAAAAATATAGTCATGTGGGATCTTGTTAGATTCTTCACAATATATATGTTCAAAATATCAACTTTTTATAATTTTTGCTGATCAATAATTAAAGATATTAATTGTTGAATTTGTACATTGACAAACGTGACTGAAGAAATGTGTCAACTAAAAAGAAATGGAGGAAGTATTTGTAGAACAAGTGAGATAACTATGAAAAGTATGAATCATGTATTCAATCTTGCTGGTATGATGCCACATAGTTCAATTTTTTGTCGTTTTTCCATCTTTGGTGGTTCCTCTTAGCAATAATGCAAAAATAGCAAGCTTTCAGCAATGTACTAGCTTCATGTTGTAAGTAGAAAGCTTTGATGCTAATCCAAGGAATTCTAGTAGGTGCTCTCAATGCATGGTCTTGGGTCTTTTTTTTTTTGCCCCTAGCTCCCCAGAATGGCAGCTTATGATCAGGTACTTAATTCATGATATACCTGATCTTCTATAATTCAGGAGACAGCCTAACCGAGATTGATTTATACATCCAGCTGCTATATTTTGTTCCTTCCCATTTTTTCTTTGATGTTATTAGAAATATTATGCTGTTGGAAGGCTTATAATCCAAAAGCTTTTATGCTCACCCAGTACAATAAATATTAGTGTACATTGAATAGTTTTAGGGGCCGTTTGGTTTGCACGGTGGAATCGGAATGGAATGGAGAAAGGGTATCAAAGAGAATGGAATAGTTCCCTTTCAATTTAGCATGTTGTTTGGTTTACAAAAAACACAAGGGAAACACCTCCACCACAGCACCACCACATCCACCATAGCAACACTCTATTTCTTCATTTCCCGGCCACCCTACAACCCAACCACCACCTCGCCGCCCTTCAACCTCCATCTTCCGACCCTCGCCGCCCCTCACCCTCCCTCCTCCGACCCTCGCCGTCATTGATTTACCCGGAAAACTTTCCCCCTACCCACGAAAAACCCTAAAAAACCCTCCCCCTCCCCTTAAAACCGTAGTCGCTAGGGTTTCAAGGGTGGGGGGAGGGGCGGCCGACGATTTTAAGGGGAGGGGAGGGGCGGCCGACGATTTTAAGGGGAGGGGAGGGGAGGGGAGGGTTTTTTTAGGGTTTTTCGTGGGTGGGGGGAAGTGGTTTCAGGGAGGGGAAGTGTTTTCGGGGGGAAGGGCGACGCGGTGGTTGGGGGAAGGGCGGCGGTGGCTGGGGGAAGGGTGGCGAGGTGGCTGGGTGGTGGTTGTGCTGTAGAAGGTTGCTAGGTGGGTGGGTTTGGTGGCTAGGGAAAGGGAATGGAAAAGTCTAGGGGGGGTGGGGAATCATGTTAGAGCAAAAATGGGTAAAGTCAATAATGAAAGAGGGTAAAGGGTATGATTGATAGTGGCAAACAAACAACAACTAAGGGAATGGGGCATGTTCATTCCCTTTCCCTTTGATTATTACCCCCAACCAAACGGCCCCTTAGGGTAACTTTTAACCTTCTTTTGGGTAACTTTTAACCTTCTTTGGGGTAACGTTAATCCTGTTATAATTTGAACGTAAATAGGCAATGAAATAAGTTTTATAAGGGTAATATTGTTACTTTCCCTCACTGAGATTGATTTGTATTCATTTAAAACGAGCAACTTAACTTTTATCTATACTAGGGTAACATTTATTTATTGAGGTAATTTTTATTTATATTTAGGTAATTTTTATTTATTTTGGGATAAATTTTGAACATGTTAGGGCAACTTTACAATGAATGTACAATATTTAATGTATACCCGAAAGTCTTAGAAGTTCTGTTTAAAGTTTATTTGTATCTTCTTCACCTTGCATGTTTCACTTCATTCTTATCAATGCACTGAAGAAATTTGTTGTTTGTTATAGATTTTTGGCTCAACTTTCTTCCTTGCTTATGCTGTCACATTTCTGAAATCACTCTCCTTTGCAGTATGGGGTGGGGATCCTGTTTATCCAACTATCAACTACATTCAAGACCCAGATGTTGTGATTGATTATAGAGGTCCAGATTTTCATGAACCTACACCTGACATGCTAGCTCTTCTAAAGGAGGTCAGTTGTGTCATGTTACTGCTTCTTGTAGTGGGATATATGCTTTCATCTATGAAACATGACTTGAAAATGGAACACAATAGAAGCCTTCATTATAAATAGAAGCCTTCATTATAATTTGTATATTGCTACCTGACAAGTTTATTTACGAGGAACATGATATGTGTTGTGGATCTTTATTGTGCTCTTGTATGTTGTAAATGTTATAAGTTGCAATTTTTTGTTTTCTTTAAAGGTAAGGAGAAAGATTCTAATCGTACCTCAACTTTCACAATTTTTTTGGTCCGGTATCTGCGGGTCACACACTTTGTCAGTGAGGGGGAAGGGTAAGGGATCCACACCCTCAAATTGTCTCTAGTGGGGATTGAACCCCCAACCTCAAGGTTGGAAGGTGACAATCCTTACCACTAGACCAAGCTTAGCTTGGTATGTTATAAGTTGCAATTAGATTGTTGATATTCATCAATGTGTAGAATTTTTCCCTTCCCTATTTTGTGTCGTAATGACTGGTTTATTCATTTCCAATGAAGCCAGTTGATTCACAATTCTTTGACTTTGGCTTATAATGGACTAAGTAAAAATAAATAAATCAATGAATATATAAATAATAAAAAAAAGCTCATGTATGAGTGCGTGACCTCCTATTTTGTCTGTAACTATTTAATGCTTGTGAAGTATGGATTTTTGTTGCATTTTGGAATTTGGATCTAAGGGTAACTTGGAATATTGGCTTATTTGTTATTTCAAGGGCCAAAAGGAAGGTTGTGTACAACTGATTGATCTGATCCCTTACCCGTTCAGAACAGAAGCCCCTCTAAACGCATTAGTGCAATGTTGTCATTTTGTGGTCGTCCATTTTAATGTGAGAAAATTGAATAAAGATTAACCACCTAATTTGGGCTAAATGCCCAATATTAGCCCTTCAATCTCCGTAAAGCGAAAGTTGAGTTCCTGATAATTTACTTAGGTTGTTTGCTTCTGTGCAAAAGTAGATTCTTGATAGGGCAATCTTTATTTGATTTTGTGTCATCACATGTTGTCTCCTTTTCATACGAAAACTGTTAGATGATAAGAGGGCTTTTTAATTTGTCAGCTAATGTCCTTGTTTCTTTAATTGTCTGTGGTTTGAGTGGAATACCTATGACACTGTACTTTAATGTTAACTAGGTTAGAGAGATGTATAGGAAGTTGAAGTTATGTAGGAAATTGATTTTCGTGGCATGTTTGTTTCTCACTTTTATCATAACACTCTACATATTCTGTGGTTTGTACTTAAATAAAGCATTTATATAATTTTCTTCATTGTAAACTTGTTTGATCAGCATGGAAAAATCATTTCAAGGGAGGACCTAGAAAAGCTTTTGGCCAAAGAGAAGACTGAAGAGCATGAGGTAGTTATTTTTTACCTTATCTATCAATTTCTTCCTCGTTCTATTCTCCTCCATTCAAGATCGCTTGTCATTTTGCATGCTGGTCATTTCATCATCAATATGTTTGATACTCCATCCAACCCAATTTTCTTGCAGTATTTGACCATAAAGCTCTCCCATTTTTTTATCAACCGGGGTAAGTAAAATGGGATGAAGCTTGTAATAAATCCATTGTTTAGGCTCATTTATTGATTTATTCTGTACTGCGTACTTCATTATATTATAATCTGATATGTATTCTCTAAATTACTACGAAGGACTTCACCTCATTGGTATTTATTGTTGTCCTTTTGCCAGAATTTTTTTTTCTTACAGTATGCCACATTTAACATGGTGTCCTGGTAATAATTATCTCTAAAATTAGTACGAAATATAATTTTGCTAGTGATATTACCTATTAAAAATCATGTTATAGTTTGGCTCATAGAAATTTTCACCACCTAACTCATTCAGCCCATGTAATGTGGGCCTTGCCACTAACTATCTCAATCTCACTCTCACTCTCACTCTTTCATCATATTTCATGTGATGTGTGACCCTCCGCTAACTCTTTCTAACTCAATCAAAAATTTTTATTCTTATTTTTCCACTATCTACCAAAAAAAACCTACACTATCCTACTATTTACTCTTAGTATGCGTGCCCAAGCCTAAAAGAGCAATAATTTAAGGTTGGAGGAGTACAATACTCCGTACTATAATAAAAAGCGTATTATGAAGTGACTTCTTAGTATTAGCTTTGTTATTCATTTAAAATTTTGTCCATAATATTTGCTATGATACTAATGGGATTAGTATTATGGTTTTTTTTTTTTTTTTTTTTTTTTTTTTTTGAAAAAGGATTAGTATTATGGTTTTTATTTGGACATCTAATGATTGCTTGACGAGTTGCTATAGAAAATTAGGGTGAACTTGATACATTAATACAAATATATTGATAATTGAAATAATTTAAGACTATTACATATATCTAGGCATTTGCTTTATCATGATGATTTCCAAATCTGTGCATTTAATTTGGGATGGAGGAATCTTTACTAATATGTTAAAAGACTTTCCTAAGAATGATTATTGTCACATAAACCTCTTCACTGCGCTACATCATACACTCAACTTCTTATTACACCACGTCACCCACTCAACGCCACTTGGCTCTCCCTTCCATATGTTTCTCGTTGCATGTCATGCACTTAAATTTTTTTTTTTTAAAAAAGAAAAAAAGAGTACTCCACACACAAGATTTGAACACGCAACCTCTGAGCTCTGTGTCTTACCACCAGCTATGTGATGTTTTATGTTACCTTTTGATATAAAATATTAATATGGATAACAAATTTAATTACAAGAAAAAATAATAATGAGAATGGTAGTTGATAATTTTTTTACGTATACTCACAAGTAATTTTTCTTGCTATTTTGACTTTTTGAAGAGTGTAACATCTGAAATGTTGGCTTATAGCTATATACTGTTAGCAATTTCATTCTTTATTATTTTAATAAAGTATTCATGTGTGGCTTTGTAAATATCCGGAATTCCAAACCAATATTATGAAAAGTTTTTTTTTCTTGAAGATAGACTATAGAGTCTATTGTTCCCAAGTGATTGGGTAAAGATGGATTATAGATCTTGACCTTATTGCATCCCAAGAATGGAAGGATGAATTCAATCCAAGGTGGTTATTATTTATTATAATAATTGGTGATGTTTTTTTTTTATATTACAATCCTTCATATTCTATACCTGTGGTTCCTGATTTTGCTCTACAATGAGTAGATGGCAGATATGGATGACGCTATGGCACGTGCTGTGGATATTGGTGAGAATGAGGTAAGTAACATCTTTTATAATATCTCTGCCTCAAACTCAAGCCTCGCTTGATTTTCAAGGTCAATAATTCAAAAACCTTTGCGCTATTTACGAATGGAGAAAAATCCCTAGTATGGAACAAAAGGTGTAACCCATTTCAAGTTGTCTTTGTCTAATACTGCCCCTTATAGCACAGAATTTTGACTTGCAATTATACAATATATGCTTTTCTCTTCTATGTTTTTGTGTAGGATGAGGACGAGGATAGTGACTTGGAGGGCAATGATGAGAAAGAAGAGAAGATTGATAGAAACTGGAGTGTCCAAAAAAGCAATTCTCAACTTCGCAAGTCAAAGGTTATTCTCCTTCATGGTTGATTCCTTTCATTTAATGCTTATCTAATTTTATCTATTAGTTATTGAGTGGAAATTATCAGCAGCACAATGTTCGACCATGTATAGACTTAGTGTGAGAAATTCCAAGTATTGCTTGGTATATTGGTGGGGAATGAATGAATGAGTACACGTGACTTTGAGGTCTCAAGTTTGTATACCCAGTGTGGGACTGTGGGGGTACATATCACCCTTTACCCCTCCTCGCATGCAAGGGGCCTCAACCTGGTGTAGGAAGGCCGGGCCCAGTGCCACTTACACTGCCCCCCCCCCCTCCGATCAAGGAAGAAGAAGAAGAAATAGCTTGGCGTGAGAAAGCACTAGAAGTAGCAGATCTTTCAGAAAAAAGCTCTTCCCTGAATTTGGGGATTGAATTTTCTCTAGGAATGCAATTGTCACTATTCTTGCAATGCACTTTAAGAGCCTTACAACTCTCCTGATCTTTAAAGTCCTTTCTTGTTAGTAATGAAGGAAAGTACACACTGATGCACAATACATCATGATGCAAGTTTAGTTTGGTTATGGGTCAAAAAAAAAGTTTAGTTTGGTTAACCTATATTTTGAACCTCTCTATTGCCTGACAGCTTCGGAATATCCTGTTTATTAAAAATGATGTGTAAATGTTGGCAATTTGGCATGTCAAAAGCTTTGGTTGAGTAACTTGAGTTATATATTCACATTTATTTCTTTATCTTTTGTGATTTTTTCAGGACAAACCTAAGAAGAAAAATTCCTTGTCTTTGGATGAGGCTGTAGATGATTCAGAGAACTTAACTGATTTTCTTTTGGACTTCGATGAAGAAGAGTAACACCTGCAATGACTGAAATACTGAATGGCTTCAGCATTAAGGTAGGAATGATTAATGAGGCAAGTGCATTTTTTAACATGTTTTTCGTATATAAGATACAAGATTCAAATTATTTCCAATTACTTCAGTGGAGTTGCTTTAATTGTATGTATTATTTATCTGTCATAGTCGTGGATCCATGGTACTGCTGTTTACAGATCAGTTTCTGTCAACATTTTTGGCGTATTACCTGGGCGAGTTGGTACTTTGCGATCAGAAGTGAGGATCACTTTAGCACCCAATGAACAAATGCAACAATAGGCAGCAGTTGTTGTGTGTGGTGGTGATTTATCATATGGAGACACGGAGAACCCCTTTGCTGTAAAATACGTCATTACTGTGGAAGTATCAATAATTTAGATATGTGGAAATCGTAGATGTTCATGTTACATCTGTTGTACGTTGTAAGACTTGTAACTCTTGTAAGTCATGTAACCATGTTAGTGTATAAAATGACTAATGTTTATAGTTGACATCGGTTACACGACGTTGATTTCCTTTTATTTGTATGGTATTATTGTAAGGGCCTGTTCATATTTACTTATTTTCAGTTCAATTCAGTTCAGCTCCAATCAGTTCAGTTCAATTCAGTTCAGCTCCAATCAGTTCAGCTCAGCTCCAATCAGTTCAATTCAGTTCAGTTCAGTTCAGCTCAACTCTTAATTTCCCTCTCTCATAAAATATTCATTTCAGCTTAGTTCAGTTCAGTTCAGTTCAGCTCAGCTCAGCTCAGTTCAATAAATATGAACAAGCCCTAAGTAATATATTTCTACTTTAACCTCTAATTAAAAAAAAAATACTCTTAAAAAATTAAATGACAATTTGAACAAGAATTAATGTTCAGAATTGATAGGATGCTAGTTCACAAGATAAAATATTTGATACTGATGTACCATTGTGTTGTTTTTGTTTGGAACAATTTTGAGAATTAGTTTCTTTTGCTGGCTGCCATTGTGTTGTTTTCGTTTGGAACAATTGTGGGAATTAATTTCCTTTGTTGGTTGTCCCAAAAAAAAAAATTGTTCATAATTTAATTTTATATGACTTATTGTCTTTGAATCTGTTTAATCAAAACAAATTGTCCCATAATTTGACTAGTATGAATCTATTAACTTGTATCAGTTTATTAAGTTCAGTAGGTTAAAATCCCTTGTTAAATATTTTTGACAATAATATAACAAAATACATATATATACATACATATATATATATATACATACATATATATATACATATATATATATATACATATATATATACATATATATATATATACATACATATATTTGAAAGAAATGTATATACAAGTAAAGATATATAGAAATATTTCATTTGGGTATATATAGAACTAGTTTTGAAAGAAAGTATATACAATTAAAAGATATATAGAAATATTTCATATGGATATATATCGGTCGGACCCAGATCCGTTTTTTCTCAGCAGTACCCGGATCCGACGGGTCCAAAATTTGAAAACCCAGATCCGTACTATAGGCATGTAATGACTAATAATTAATAACGTAGGTGAAAATGTTCGTTTTAATAAACTAAAAAAATATAAATAAATTAAAAGTTCAAAACACGTTGGATTGACCCAAACTCAAAAGTTTGGGTCCCTTCCAATTCGAGATGACTCATGACCCAATCCTAATTCACATGTCTCCATTCTTTTTTTTTTTTTGACACAACCAAAGCATAGCCATTTATTCATTCATCAAAAGATCAAGATCATTACAAACTTCCCCGTGAATTTCCGAGGGATACTCCTCTAACCAAGCTCGATATTCACTAAAATTACTACTTAAATTAGCTAAGCCATGGGCAACACCATTACCGAATCTCTTCACAAAGGAGAAAGAGCAAGAAAAACATTGAGAAACAAGCCTAAGAATATCCCTAATCACATTACCAAAATCGTTCGGAATGATGATACCCTTCTTCATGTGATGGAACAGTTTGATGTTATCGGTTTCAAGCATAAAATTTCTGAAGCCGACTTCAAGGGCAATCCCAAGGCTTTGCCGCATTGCAATCGCTTCACCCAAATCCACTCCATAACTGCCCCTAAGAGTCGAGCAGTAGGCCATCAGCACTGACCCATCAGCATCTCTAAGCACGCCTCCCACACCAAGCAGCTGCTGCACACTGAAATTTGCATCAGTGTTTAGCTTGTATGCTCCTGCATCAGGTGCCTTCCACACCGAACCTAAATTCTGGCTCGGAACAACAGGGGAATTTAATTTACATGCCTCTTCAAACTCACCCACAAGCCCCATAGCCTTGTGAAGTAAATCATACTCAGGCTTCAATTTCCTTTCGAAGACTCAACAATTACGTTGCAACCACACACCCCACGCAATGCTCCAAAAAATGTCCCACCACTTCATCTCCTTTACATTTTCACTCTTGTTAGCACACCACCTACGAAAGCATCCATCTTCTACACCACTTATGTCTAACCTCAGAGCCGAGTGTTTCCATATCATGGCTGATTTCGGACAGAGGAGCAGCATGTGCATAATGGATTCTTCTGCTTCCCCACACATTAGGCAGATGAATTCAATCTCCATGCCTCTAGCAGCCAAACACATACGCACAGGGATGGCATTCTTAATGCATCTCCAAGCAAAAAACTTAATCTTTTGAGGGAGATTAATTTTCCATATGGTCTTCCAATTGAAAGAAGGAGGAACATTAGATGATGAAGCTCTGCTTAATTCTTCCTCTTCAATCAATAAATTATACGCACTCTTAACTCTATAGAAACCATTCTTCGCATAGTGCCAACACCATTCATCCGGTCTATTAAACAGTGGAATCGGGGAGCTACAAATGTCATTGACTTCCCTCTCAGTGAAAAGCTCCTGCAACCGAACCATATTCCAGCTTCTATCAACCCAAAGTTCATTCACAAATGTAGGCACATCATCCCTTTCCCCCTTGGCAGATAAAACATGAAACTTTGGGAGTGTAGGGACCCATGGATCCTCCCAAATATTAATACTACAACCCCCTCCAATAACCTTCCTCGCACCTTTTTCAACCACATTCCTCACACTTAAAATGGAACGCCAAGTATAACTCATGCCAGAAACCATCTTTGCATAAAAAAAAGACGAGGATGGGAAATATTTACCTTTAAGAACTCGAGACATTAAAGAGTTCTCGTTAGATAAAATTCTCCACGCTTGCTTGGCCAACATTGCATCATTGAACACTCGCATATTTCTAAACCCCATTCCTCCTTGATTTTTTGCCCGGTACATTTTCTTCCAAGCTACCTAACACATCTTCTTTTCATCACCTTTTTGCCCCCAAAAGAAATTTCTACACATTTTTTCCACTTGATCAAGAATGCTAACAGGGATAGAAAAGCATTGCATAGCATAGATTGGGATCGCTTGGGCAACAGATTTAATGAGAATTTCTCTACCGGCCTGAGATAAAAAAATTTCCTTCCAACCTTTGAGCTTTTTCCACACCCTATCTTGAATACTCTGAAAAACCTGTTTTTTAGAACCTCAATGTAAGTTGGAAGCCCTAAATATTTATCGTGCCCATCGACAGCCTTAAATGACAACTTCATCTGAAGCATATTTTTCTTCTCAAGATCAATGTTTCGGCTAAAAGACACCTCCGATTTCTCCATATTCAATATCTGACCCGACGCTAGCTCATAAGTTGAAAGGATATCAAGGAATCTGTCTGTTTCTTCTTCATTTGCCCTTACAAAAAGCAGACTATCATCAGCAAAAAATAGGTGAGAAATTGGCTCAACATGTCTACCAATTTTCACCCCATGTATGATTTTCTTCCTTTCTGCATCACGAAGTAAAGCCGACAATCCTTCTGCACACATTATAAATAGGAAGGGAGAGATGGGATCTCCTTGTCGCAGTCCTCTACTAGGCTTAAAAACACGAGAAGGATGACCATTCACAAGGACATCAAAAGAGGCCGACGAGACACACTTCATAATATTGTTCACAAACTTCTCTGGGAAACCAAATTTCATCATCATTTTTTCCAGAAACACCCACTCTACCCTGTCATATGCTTTGCTCATGTCAAGCTTCAACCCCAAGTAGCCTTTCTTCCCTGATTTCTTTTTCCGGAGGTAATGAAAACATTCATAAGCAACAAGAATATTATCTGTGATCAATCTACCCGGCACAAAACCACTCGGAGACTCGCTAATAATGTATGGCAAGATTTTTTTTAGTCTGTTAGCTAAGACTTTCAAAACAATTTTGTAGAGCACATTACACAGACTAATAGGTCTATAATCAACAGGAGACTCACATTCTTTTTTTTTATGAATTAAAACAATATGAGTCTGATTAATAGAACCTATATCACCACCATTATTAAGAAAATTCAACGAGCTAGAAATCACATCATTACCAACAATATTCCAGAATTTTTGGTAGAAAACAGCAGACATACCATCAGGGCCAGGAGCTTTTGTGGGATGCATTTGGAAAAGGGCCTCATACACTTCATCACCGGTAAAAGGGGCAGCAAGATCCTCGAATTGCTCATTTGAAATAGCAGAGTCCACTTTTTCAATCACACTATCGGCCTCCACCATAACACTAGAAGTGAACAAATCATTAAAATGTTGCACCATTACTTCTGCAACTTGCTCTTCATCATCAAAAGTATTACCAGCAACATCCTTAATCTCGCGGATGTGGTTTCGAGATTTCCTTTGACTCGCTTTCGTATGAAAGAAAGACATATTTTTATCCCCAAATCTCAACCAATCCTGTCTACTCTGTGGCCTCCAATACAACTCCTCCCTACTCTCCAACTCATCCATTCTATCATCCAAGGCCCGCATTTGAGCTATAATACTCTTTGTTTGATTTTCCTCCATGAGACTCTCCATTCGGGCTCTACATTCCTTCAACTCTTTCACAAAATCACCAAATTTATTCCTACTCCAAGCGCTCAAGTTCAAGGAAGTGTGAGCAATTTTAGAACAAATATCCCCACCCCTACTCCACGCATTTGCAACAATATCACCGCAAGTTTCATCTCTAAGCCACATTTCCTCAAATCTATACAACTTCCTCTTTTTTTTCTTTTTCTGCTTCCCCACACCTTCATTAATACATAGCAAAATAGGGAGATGGTCTGACTTCCGCTTTGAGAGATGAGAAACAAAGGAAACCGGGAAGAGTTCCCGCCATTCCTTATTAGCGAGATATCTATCCAGCCGTTCTTGTAAGTTATGATCACCACCTCTATTGTTCGTCCATGTAAATGGATGGCCAATAAACCCCAAGTCCTCTAGCTCACACGAGGCTACAGCTCCCCTAAAGATATCTGCTTCATCTAAACGAAAATCATTTCCTCCTTGTTTTTCGCTCGAGATCAACATCAAGTTAAAATCTCCCCCACACACCCATGGGGTATCACAGCTCCCACCCAGGTTCTCAAGCAATGTGCCCGTCTTATGCTTATTCTCCTCCTCCGGGAAACCATAAACACCAGTAAATCTCCATCCTTCCTTCTTTGGAAATTTGACCCAAGAGTCAATATGGTTTTGCGAGTATGATTTTATAGTAACATCGATAGTGTCTTTCCACAACAAAGCAAGACCTCCACTCCTCTTCCTTCCCTCACCAACACAACTCACAACAAGCAAATTATTGAATTTTAGTTTCTTTTTTATTTTTTCCATCTCATGACTTTTTAACCTCGTCTCCGACAAAAAAATTATTTGGGGTTTTTCAAGAAATGTTACATTTTTTAAAGCCGTGATCGTCGAGGAACTCCCCAATCCCCTGCAATTCCAAGATATGATGTAATTCATTGTTCACCGAGAGCCCAGGGGTGGGGCCCGCCACATTTTGAGTCATGAACTCAACCTTTCGCCTTTTGTTCGTAGCATCAGTATCATCTCCCTCCATCATCACATCACTCACTTCTTCCTCCAATTCTCTCTTCCCTCCTTTTCCACCTAACTGCCCAATCTCCCCTATTCTCATACTACTCCTTATTCCCCCTTGCATTATCTTGACCTTCCTCAATTTTTTTATGATTTAATTCTACTGCTCCCTCTTTTATTTTTTGCTCACTTCGTGCTGCCACTCCCTCCTCAATTATTTCTTCATAGCCACTTCCTACACTCTGCTTCGGATCAGGCAACAAACTTGGGGCATCATGCATCATCTCTTCGACATTTTCAAGATCACCGAAAGATTTCTCAGTTCCCACTTCTTCAGACTTCTCTGTTATCACCCGAGTCTCAATAGCATTATCCATCTTTTCTTGCAGCTCTCCTTCTTCGATCATCGATGTCCCAACCACTCTTAGGACCATCTTTGACCCACTCTTGTCTACAACAGGCACGAGTTCTGCTTTTTTACTCCTTGGACTCTGCATTTCATCGTTCAATTTTGGAGACGAGAAAGCCAATCTTCTTGCTACCCCTACAGGGCCAAGTTTGATAACATCCGGATCACTATAGTTTGCATCTTTCTTTGATTTTGACGCTAATTTCAGCTTATTCATACATTCTTTTTCCTTCTCACGTTCAGCCAAGTCAATCTTCACCTTTTTCTTCGGCGTAGCTTTAAGCCAAGGGCCATATTGATACACCATCTTTGTCGACTCGTCTTCACAGCTCTCTTTGTGTTGACATTCGCTTTCAGTATGCTCTAATCTACCACAGAAAAAACAGAAATCTCCAAGTCTTTCATACTTCAAATCAATCCAGCGAGATTGATTCTTTCCCATTGCCAAAAACAGTCCCCTGCGCAAGGGTTTATTAATATCCACTAACACCTTAATCCTCATACAGTCCCAACGGATCTTCGTCATCGGCTTCCAGAAAACCACCAAGAAACTCTCCTACATCGTACATAACCTCCAGCGACCTTTTATTAAAAGGCACGTCTAATAATCGAACCCACATTGGGGTATGCTTGAAAACCACTTCTGACGGTTGCTCATCTCCTAAAATTTCTTTCAATAGTAGCAGCTTTTCATCAAAATACCAAGGTCTACCTTCCAGTACACATTCTTTGTCCTCCTCACAAAAGAATTGGAAGACGAAGAGGTTTGTCTCAACAACCCTAATGGCAAATTTTTCTTTTAGTTTCCACACATTCGATAAGGTTCTTTTCATCGCCTCAATATTATACGGCTTAACAGTCCATATTTTTCCCACAAGCGTGAGATTCAGTTTTGTCTTTGTATCTTCACTCACAATTTCGACATATTCCCCTCCTAGAACCTCTCCCTCAGCTTCCGTCAATCGAAGTTTTTCCCAATCTTTGATTAATTCATCCCCCATGATCGCAATCACGAGAGCAGAGGATTAGAATTAGCAAGAAATTGATATGAATCAGCAAAATTTGGAAGAAAATTGAAAAAAAATTGAGTACTCACTCGCAAACCCTAGCACGGGACTCACTCACCCTAGAGAGGGACTTGCCTTACCACATGTCTCCATTCTATTAGATTGTGAAGTATATAATTTTAACCGATTAGTATATATATTAGATATGGATGTTTTACGCTTTGAAGTACTTTCTTCGCTCCAAAAAAATAAATTTATACGATAATTTTTTAGAATTATAATCTAATAATTTTTTGAATAAAATTATAATTCAATTTGTACATTTTGGTATTTTATCGATGGTAAAACTTTAAACTAACAATTTTATCCTATAATATTAACTTTTTTATGTTATGAAGTCTATTTAAATCTATCCAACGTAGCGCGACACGCGACACTTGGGGAAAAGTTGAAACGCCTCGTGTCACAATCAATAATTACTTATAGATTTTGCAAAAAAATAAATAAATAAATAAATAAAAAATTACAATGGCAAGTGTCATAGAAAGATTTGATTTGAAAATAATTAGTTTTATGCTTCTAATTTTTACCTTTGTCTCTATTTTTAATTTTAAGTTTATTTTTTTTTAATTTGGTGTACAAATAATTATATACATAAAACAAAGATTCAATCCATCTATAACTTTATACTAAAGGCGAAACCAGGAATGACACATGTCATCTCCTGATTAAAAATTTTCCCTCCAAAAGTTTTTATTTTTATTTTTATTTTTTTTGGGCCAAAGCTTCTTAAAGAAGCTTTTAATACAAACTATGCAATAATATTTCATTTCCTATTTATTTTTTTATACAATAATATGTAATAATACTATAATAGTTTGCTATCTATAACTTTGTAATGTAATTCATAGTTATTTTTATTAGTCATGCATATATTATTCTCTCTGTTTTTTTTAGTGTGATAAATTTAAATTTTTTTTTTGTAATTACAGAATTTTCATCCTATTTTGCAATTAGGTATAAATTTTTATAATTAAATAATAGTGTTAAACTAATGATAAATATTAAGTATTAAAAATTACCGTGCATGGCACGGGACTTAACCTAGTAACTATATAATAAAAAAACCCACCTGACAGATGTGATCTATTTAATGTAAATTTTTAATAAAAGTAAATAAAGATTTGTTAAAATGTAAATAGCCTTAATTGCACTAAATCAATATAACAAGAGTATATTTTAAAATAATATGACATATATTGGAACTTTAACAACCGTGCAATAATTGCACAGGATGTAACCACTCTTTTTTTTTTTTTTTTTTTTTTTTTTTTTTTTTTTTTTTTTGACGAGAACCTAGTTTTCTTATAAGATTTGCTAAAAGGTTACGTGCTCAAACTTAGTTATTAGTTTCTCCACTGCTACAACGTGGAATTCTTACTACTAAGTTGTAGCCATTTCATTGTTTTACTTTTGCCATATTAATTAATTTTAATAAAACAACAAAATTGTTTATAAATACTATTAGAAGGTTATTTACAAATTACCGAAAATAATAACAATCGCCTTTCACTCTATCTTTACTATTCTCTTTATTTTCTATTCTTCTATTCTCCTATGTTGCATAATAATTTTTGGTGTTTGTAATTACTTTATGTTAGAATACAACTATTGTATTTATTCATTATTCATTCCAAAAACAAGCTTCTACTTCTCTCCACGATTTATATACTTTCTTTCTTTCTTAATTCAATTTTCTAAACTTTAATAAAGATTAAGCTACATGTAGTTGAGCTATGCTCATGCATCACATTGTTTACTGTCAAAATGCAAGTCAAGATTATCCCTTGTTAAGCTAAGCGTGCCATGACAAAACTTGCGAGAATAATTTTGCAAATAAGGGCATGTTATGTTCACCTTATTTTTAGGTTAATTGAACAAAACTTAGAGTTTTCAAGTTATGCTTTCATTAATTTGAAAATGCATAGATACAATGCGTTGGTTGATTTGTAAAAAAAATGGAGGGATGACCTATTTATAAGCATCCAAGTCCCTAAGGCTTAGAAACATTCTATTCTAGAATGCTCATGGGATTTCTTGTAGCAATGAATCCAATTATCTAGAGTATTCTAGAGGCGTGATCATAATGGTGCTGTACACTATTTGCGACAACAAAGAGGATAAAGGCGTATTAGCCTCCTGAAGTGGCTGAAGCTAAGGTGATAGCCATGGCCTTCCGTTTGGGTAACAGATTTGGGCTGGAGAAAATGGTGCTGGAATCAGATTGTCAACTGTTGATCAACCGTCTTTCGAAGGGCTCAATTTACTTCAACGATCTCAATACAATATTATGAGATATATTGGCTTTGTGTGCTCGTTTTAATTCTGTTATTTGGTCCTATGTTATAAGATATGGTAATTATGTAGCTCACCATCTTGCCAAACTATTTCCTTTTAGAGTCGGGCAAGTCTGGAAAAATCATTGTCCCCTTGCTCCCTATATACTCATTGATAATTTATCTCGTAACTAATGCTAGCTTTGGTTTCTTTCAAAGAGTATTCTAAAGAAAACAATATACTCAAATTGCAATGATAATTTTACCAATAATGAATTGACCATATACTCAATTTAGTTTATGGATGATTATTTACCAAACGATTTGTCCATTTACTATTTACTGTAATATGAGGATTAATTAATTAGGATGATCATTTATTATATATATTAACTCACCTTTTGGCATGTTCGATATGTAGTTACCTATATGTTACTTTTGTATAATAAAAAGAAGTTAAAGCAGTGATAAAATGTCACAATAGAAGATAATAATAATTAATAAAAAACACAATTTGTGTAATAAGAAAAATTTAATTCTATGATGAATGTAATACGTTTATATAATGTGCACTAATAATTAACTCAATTTTCTTCTAATGAGGAAAATGAACACTATAGTGGGAATGTGAAAGTAATAATGTTTTTTTTTTTTTTTGACTCGGAAAGTAATAATTAATGTTGATATATTACATATGATTTAGCTTTAAGAATAGTGATCTTAATATAAATGTTTTATAAAAGATAGTAAGAAAAGAGTTAAATGATGAGTGTGGCATGTGACAATATTGATTTGTGAACACGTGATCACCCAGATGTCTAAATTACCCAACTTTATTAACAAGATGGTAATCAAATCGTTTAGATTGATTTGGATTAAATTATTACTATTCCGTATCAGGTATGATTTGTTTGGGTTTAATTCTGGCTCGAATCGAGTTGATCGAATTTTGATTGTATTGCTAATCTCAAATCAGATAATTTAAAGTTAAATCGAGTCAAGTAATTTTCGGTAATATCGAGTTTCGAATCGGGTAATCCGTACTCATGAATCTGTTCTGTCAAGTCAAACCCATTGAACATTTGAACCAGACTCTATCAAATGACCCGAACCAGTAGTGGGAGTCACTGAGTGTGGGACTGACCAAATTTGCAATACAACTCCAATTGCTGACTTCAGACTTGGAATCTGATAATCCGGCTAATTTCCTCCTCATCTTCAACCTCCTGTTATCCTATTTCAAAGGTATGTTCCCTTTACTTCTTTCTCTCTCTTCTTGTAATATATAATTAGGGTTCATTTTCTCTGTGCACTTTTTTACCCATTTAGTATGTGTATTGTTTGCTGATTTGAGAAGCTCTAATTGATAATTAATTGTTGTAATATAAGTTTTGTTTACTGGGGTTTTTGCAAAATTCATGGCTTCATTGCATTTGTCTTTTTCTCTTGAGTTTCATGAACCCAAAAAGATTAAATTTTGTCCAACTTCTGCTCAGTTATTTGATCGTTTACCTGTTACCCACTTCCTAAGTTCTTCAAATGGAAGTGGGTTTGGTGTAATTTTTGCTGTTTCTAAGTTGAATCATGTTAAAGCTTCTCGTTTTGATTCGGAATTAGTGGATGGTTCAGTGAATGTTGGTGAGAGTGATGGTAATAGTGGAACGTATGAGGATGATTTAGGGAGTGAGAATTTGATTTCCCAGAATTCGAATTTGTCGCATTTTCATCGTAAGGCGGGTGCTAGAGATATAGGGAAGAGATTTCGTGGTGGTGGAGGTGTGAGAGAAGTCCGAAAAGAGAAGCAAAGCTTGAAGAAGCTTGATAATGTAGGAAAACGTAATGAGAACAAAGATGTTTGTGGTGAACTAGATGTTGGCAAATATGGTATTAGGCCTGAATCGAGCATAGCCTCTTTCAATAAGATATTGAAAGGCCTTGAAAGGGGTGAGGATAGGAAAGCGTTGCTATTTTTCGACTGGATGAGGAGTAATGGGAAGTTAAAAGGGAATGTGATTGCTTACAATTTGGCTTTGCGGGTATTGGGAAGGAGAGGTGATTGGGATGCGGCAAATAAATTGGTTGAGGAGATGAGACTGGAATCAGGGTGTGAGCTGCAATTTCAGGTCTTTAATACAATCATTTATGCTTGTTCTAAGAAGGGGCTTGTGGATATTGGTGCTAAATGGTTCCGTATGATGTTAGAGTATGATGTTGAGCCTAATATTGCAACTTTTGGTATGCTTATGAGTTTATACCAGAAAGGTTGGAATGTTGAGGAGGCAGAGTTTGCATTTTCCCAAATGCGGAGATTAAATATCAGATGTCAATCTGCATACTCAGCAATGATCACAATTTACACCCGGTCTGGTTTGCACACCAAAGCGGAAGAGGTGATTGACCTTCTGTTTAAGGATGAAGTTGTAATGAATCTTGAGAACTGGTTGGTTATGCTGAATGCTTATAGCCAACAAGGGAAGCTAAAAGAAGCCGAAGGCGTATTGGTTTCAATGGGTGAGGTAGGCTGTGCCCCAAGTATCATTGCATACAATTCACTGATAACTGGGTATGGGAAGATAACCAATATGGATGCTGCTGAACAGATGTTCCAGAACTTACAAAATGTAGGCCTGGAGCCTGATGAAACAACTTACAGGTCCATGATTGAAGGCTGGGCTAGATCTGGGAATAATGAGAAAACAAAATGGTATTATAAGAGGCTGAAAGATTTGGGATTCACGCCAACATCCTCTAATCTTTACTCTTTAATAAACTTGCAAGCTAAACACAAGGATGACGATGGGGCTTTTATCATTCTTGATGACATGGTGAAGTTGGGCTGCCAACCCTCCTCCATTCTTGGCTCTCTCATACAAGCTTATGAAAAGAGTGAAAGGTTTGATAGATTGCCACAAATTTTGAGGGGTTCTCTCTATGATCATGTGCTACATAATCAGACAGCGTGCTCAATTTTGGCTATGGCTTATGTAAAACACTCCTTGGTGGATGATGCTATTAAACTTCTAAAATATAAGCACTGGAAGGACCTAGCTTTCGAGGACAACTTGATCCATTTGCTTATTTGTTCTTGCAAGGAACTGGGCCATCTGGAAGATGCTGTCAAAATATTTACCCATATGCTGAAGTCTGATGGAAGGCCAAACTTGCATATTTACTCGACTATGATTGACATCTACAGTCTTATGAATCAATTTGCTGATGCAGACAACACTTACCAGCTATTAAGGTCTTCAGGACTTGCTCTGGACATGGTTGCCTATAGTATTGTTGTCAGGATGTATGTGAAATTCGGACTTTTGGAAGATGCTTGCTATGTTTCGGAAGATATGGACAAGCAAACAAACATCGTTCCTGATATTTATTTGTTCCGCGACATGCTCAGAGTGTACCAAAGATGCAATAAACAAGATAAGCTGGCAGACTTGTACTACAAGATCTTAAAGAGTGGGGTTAGCTGGGACCAGGAAATGTACAATTGTGTCATAAATTGCTGTGCTCATGCTTTGCCTGTTGATGAGCTTTCCAAGGTCTTTGATGAGATGATTAAAAAAGGATTTACCCCCAATACTATCACTTATAATGTTATGCTTGATGTTTATGGGAAGTCCAAACTTTTCACAAAGGCTACGAAAGTCTTTTCGATGGCTAAGAAACAGCAATCGGCAGATGTGATAACTTACAATACTCTTATAGCAGCATATGGTCAAAGCACAAACTTAGAGAAAATGACAAAAACTGTGCAACTGATGCAATTTAATGGGTTTTCTGTATCCCTTGAAGCTTACAATTGTATGTTGGCTGCTTATGGAAAAAAGCGTCAAATGGATAAACTTAGAGATGTCTTGCAAAGCATTAAGGAATCAAGTCACACTTCTGACCAGTACACGTACAATATACTGATGAATATATATGGGGAACAACGATGGATTGAAGAAGTTGCTGCAGTGTTGGAAGAGCTAAAAGAATATGGACCGGGACCAGATTTATGCAGCTATAATACATTGATAAAGGCATATGGCATTGCAGGGATGATTGAAGATGCTGTTTCTGTGGTTAAAGAAATGAGAGACAATGGGGTAGATCCTGATAGGATCACTTATCTCAACTTGATAACCGCAATGCGCAGGAATGATAAGTTTCTAGAGGCTGTTAGATGGTCATTGTGGATGAAGCAAATGGGAATGAGCTGAAGTACTTGTATATTCTTTTTCTTCGGTTCTTTGTATCAAACGAATAAATGTTCAGTTTTGCTTCTAATCACTAGCCGTGATTGATTGTTTCTGTGACTCTTAATTTGTTAACTATAGAACCATAGTTACTTAGAATTCATACTATTTACCAATATACCATGGAATAATTGCTCTGCATAAAGATACTCTTGGTACTTGATTCAGCAGAAGATTTTCTGGATTTGTTTGAAACAAATCTGTTCACTGATTTAAATAAGTCGGGAGAGAATCAAGCCTCGTGAATGCTTGAATGTATTTTATTTTATGTAATTTCCAGCTTATTAGTCAAAATCATCTTCCTTTTCCTTAATTTTTGTCATTAGTGTTGTGTAAGCTAAGTTATTTTTTAGCATAAAGGGGAACTGAAGTAGTGAACTGGAGGAGAAAGAAACTGTGAGAAACTTTTCTGTTTGCTGACACCCTTCCTTGTTTTTTAGCATAAAGGCTTGAACAACCATCTACCTAGCTTCACACTCTTAGCTATATCAGCCAGTTCATGGGCTGGAGTTCTGGAGTGACTGTATACCTAGTAATATGTTTTAGCATACAAGACACTAAGGAGGGCATCGTGATATATATCAGGAACAAATCCCAGATTCCCTCAGTGTGGGTTTGGTTAGCATTTTATATAATTGCTTTTCTCTTTTTTCCCTTTGGAGCTCCCACACTTTAATGTAACATCATTTTCCATACCACCCCTCTCCCCTTGAGACTCGTATTTCCCAAGGGATTTTTACATTTCTAGTTCATCACTACAAGAGAGCTTAGGTTAATTTCTGCAAGAGTAACAGAGTCCAATAGGATACAGAGTTCTAAGAGTTCATAATCAAAGAAAATCCAATAGAATGCAGTCTAGTTTGTATACCAACCCATATTTTTCAATATCTTTAGGAATATAAACAGCCAAGGATGCTGAAGGTATGTTCTTTTGGGATAAATAACCAAGGGTGCTGAAGTTATGTCCTTTTGGGATAAATAGCCAGGGATGCTGAAGTTATGTCCATTTAGAAACAATGCCGTTTAACATTATATTTACAATATTCATATTCTTGATCAATTAGCTCCTTTACTTTTTGTGGCCTTGGAATCCCTTTTCCTGACTGACCCTTGCTATCTTCATAAAAGCTTTCCTGACTAATCTAATGCTCGTACATGGGCCTGTCAAAACTCAGGATGCATTTGCCCTTGGGTTTGGAAAACAGATATTAGAATTTATCTGGTATTTACTCAAATTCCAAAAAATTGAAAGTTTCTGAATTTGCAATGCTTTAATCCTCATTAAGAACATGTTTAATATCTTGTTATTTTGTGCCATGTCTATGAACCTAGATAGTCTGGTGATGAGTCAAATCCACATGTTCCTGCTGTCTGAATTGGATGAGAGCCTTGTATTAAATTTTTTGCCGTGACACCTGACCACACAATGTGTACTTATAGTTTAATCATATTTGTCTTTGCAGGTGAAGCAGGCATGACAATGTTTCTGTTAATCTCCAACTACAGCTGCTGCTAGTAAGTCCATTTATTTTGTTTGTTCCTCACATACTTTCACTTTTAGCAAGATATTATCCATTTTTCTGACATCTGGGTTTAGTATCTGCTATATTATTATTATATCTAAGGCTCCGATGAATCTGTTGATCTTTGAATACATTTATTATTGCCTTCTTTCCAGAATCATAGCCAAACCTAGGAGAAATATTAATAAGAAATAACTTAATTATGGTTTTAATTCGTCTCAAAGGTAAAGTATCACCTGAGGTTAATATTGACATACACCTGAAAACATGTTTTGGTATCTCGTGGTTGATTTCAGGCTTCTTCACTGTGATGCTGTATGATTGAATGGCAAAAAGGGCATCCAAGTGCTACTACAAAATTTTGCGGGGTTTAATACAGGACTATAATTTTGGGAATATCCAGCCTGTCTTCGCGTCATTTATAAAGAGATATGGTTTAATTAAACCTACACTGGGCAAGATGTTGGTGCATTACTTGTGTATGGAGAACAATGTAGATGGTGCCCTTATTCTCATTCATGAGTTGAACAAAAATAATTTTAAGGTAAATTTTCCTGTTGATGTTATTGGGATGCTTACAGCACAAGGAAGACCTTTGGATGCATACAGACTTGTTATGGGTGCCCAAAATGATCTTTCAAGTATGAATGTGGTTGACTACTCAGTCCTTGTTGATGGACTCTGCAAAGAAGGGTACATTGATAAGGCCTTAGAACTGTGTAATTTTGCCAGGAAGATGGGAGTTACACTTAATGTAGTCACTTATAACTCACTTTTCAATGGGCTATGTCGTCAAAGTTGTCTCATCGAGGCTTTTCGGTTGTTTGATTCATTGGATATGAATAAAATATTTCCTTCTGCTGTTACTTATGGTACATTAATCGATGCTTTGGTTAGAGAAGGGTATTTATTGGATGCTCGGCAATTGTTTGAGCAAATGATCATCAAAGATATAAAACCAAATACCCATATTTACAATACTCTAATTGATGGGTATTGTAAATTTGGGAATGTGGAAGAAGCATTGAGGCTTCTATATGACATGGAGAACCACTCTCTTAAGCCTGAAAAATTCACCATAAGTGCTGTGATTTATGGCTTTTCCTTGGAGGGAAACATGGAGGGTGCACTTCAATTTTTCATCGATATGAAGGGAAATGGCATTTCCCCTGACTTCTTAGGCTTCTTATATTTAGTAAGGGGCCTATGTGCGAAGGGTAGAATGGAAGAGGCACGGAGTGTTATAAGAGAAATGCTTCAAGATGAATCTGTTCTTGAATTGTTAGCTAGAGTAAATGGCGAGATTGAAACAGAATCTGTAGAGACCTTTCTATTTGACCTGTGTGAACAGGGTAGCATTCAGAATGCTCTTATCATTCTCAATGAAATTGGATCAATGTTTTTTTCTTACAAGAGAGCTTCTGCTTCAAGTACACTTAAACCTATGGCGTCTTGTGAGGAAGATATACAGACCGTCTCTCCTAATCCTCTTCCCTCTGTCCATCAAATGGACTTTGATGCTTTGTACTCGAAAATGACATCTCTTTGCTCTCTAGGCGATTTCCAAGGCGCTACTGCTTTGGCAAAAGCTATGATGTTTGGTTTTCCGAAAAAATGATGGCATCAGAATGACACCTGCTCTGGTCTAAACCAATGCAGGACCTCTGGGATTGTACATGGATGAGAAGTAATGCAATACATCAGCTACATCCTACAGGTATCTGTCTTTTCAACCATAGTTAATTTTGCTTTTCTGTCTTTTTTTTGCACACTGATATACAGCTTTCAAAACTAATAGCTTACTGTTTTTCTCAGTATTTCAATTCCATCAACTACAAACCCTATACCCTACAGGAATTTCTTTTTTTAAAAAAAATAAAAAATAAAAATCGTACTTTTCTTTGTTCTATAGTACTTGTGATTTTTGACATCGAATGGTAACTTAAATTTATATACATAGTAACTAAAATTGTAATTAGGAGCGTTACAAGTCACAACTTCTTGTGATATTATCTCTTACTTGTTTATGAGAGTACTTGCTGAAATTAAACACTATATATGTGTTGCCAAAAACAAGTAACATCATTTTTGCTGTACACATGCTAGGCTGATGACTCTTCTATCATGTCGGAGCTGGTATGCATCAAATTTCGCTGGTCTATTTTGATGTGTTTTCGGAGTACAAGTTTGAAGCATACAACTCAGACCTTTGGATTAGCAGAATTGTGGTAATGCTCTTGCGCAAATTACATATAACATCACGGGAGTGGCATCTTGCTGATTATAGTTCACACCAATGCTCGTGGACATGCTACGTGAAATGACCAATTCAGGCAAAAAACTTTGTTGAAGATACATGTTTGAGGGTGTTTGAGAAAATTACTCCTGAAAAATATATTTATGTAGGAATGCATGATTTGTGAATTGTGATTAAAGAAGGTGTTATCCAGATAATCTTGTATGAAAATCATCATTATTCATTAATTTTTGTAATTAGTCTTCATTTCTTAATACTTCTACTGATTGAAAAAGGCATGACTTTAGCTTACATAAAAACTTAAAAGTACTCCATAGTCCGTACTAAAGAGGCATGTATTCATTTATTGTGTTATCTTGTGTTATCATCATTATTCATTAATTTTTGTAATATGTATTCATTTATTGTGTTATCTTGTGTTAAAGTACTAAAGTGGCTCTTTTTTCTTTTATTTTTGAAAGAAAGAAAATGGCTTTAAGATAAGCTAATTTGTCCACTTTTTATTTGGCCAAAAAAAGGAGGAAAAAAAAAGGAGTATGTTAACTCTTTTTCAATGTGTTCCTTCAAATGTTGAGATCTAAAAGCACTTCTTAACCCCGAATTTTCAGGATGTTTACAAATTGCTTTGGTAATTGAAGGAGCCAAGTCAATTATCATAATACCTCTGTCTCTTATTGATAGTTTCTTGTAGCCAATTTTGAGTTTCAAAATGATAATCTCATTTATTTTTTAAAGTACCATTAATATAATTATTTTTTTACCAATATTTTCTTCAATTTGCAACAATATTTATACAAATTTAACTTTTTCAGGTAATTTTTTTTTTTTCGAAACCAGATAAATTTTATTTTTTCATGTAATTTTATTACTTCCTTTCTCAACTTTTTTTTTCATAACCAATGTAAATTTAACTTTCCAATGTACTATACTACTTATTAATTCTCGTGAACATTGCTCATAAAGGACTATCAATAAATTTGTGAAATTTTGACAAATTTTATATGTATTACTCCTATTACAAGTTTACAACTACAATAATTTTAAATAGCCACACCAATTAAACAAAACTATCTTCCAACAAAATTTTAATTGTAAAATTGTCCATCGAGATCAACTACGGATAGTAAAATCTCACATGAATATGTTTAAACATCTTAACATTCAAATTATTATTAAAAATCTATACACGATCATCAGTAAAATAATGGAGAAAGTGTGGTACACCTATCATTTAAAGAGCTCCTAAACACAACTACCTTAAGAAAACATATTGCTTTTTCTTATCTCTTCCCCAATGATGCTTCTCATTGGATGCATGAGATGATGTAGGCTCTATTCAAGTCTAAGAAAGAGACATCTCAATTTTTTAAAGATTCTAAACATTATAATGTTGAATTTGAAATAATTAGATAACATAAAGAAAATGTAGAAAAAATCCAAGGAAGACTCCAACTAAATTGGGAATTGAATATAGAATTATTCAAATATAAAGGCTTTCCCCAAATTGACAGTCAAGAAGAGAATGTCTTGATCATATTAGAAAAATAATTGTACTAATTGACATTATTTAAAATGTAAATTGACAGCTTCTACATTGAATGGATGACCCCTTAAAGGGTATATTTCTGTCTTGATTAGCCTCATCATAGGTCATTGGGTGTCTTGCATGTGCAACTGTTCATAATCATAAGGCATTGGTAAATTATTTATGTGCACAATAATGTGCATAATAAATTAATAATGTGTAGTATAAAAAGTGTAATACCAAATACAACCTCATAAGTAGTTAATTAGAAATACTATCTCATTTTTAAGCTTATAATGGTGTATTATGGACTTATTTGTAGACATTTTATTTTATATTTTAAGGAAAAATATATGGTCAAAATTATTAAAAAAATCAAGTATGTCAATTAATTATTATAGAACGATAGAGAGTTTAGTAAAGTCATGTCCTCTTTAGCTTAAAAATATAATATTCAGTAAAAAAAAAAAATTCATTTCAATAAAAAATAAGTTCAGTTTAGGCAGTGACGGATCTTAGGTCAAAAAGTTTGGGGGGCCAAGGTTTAATCCTCCAACCTTTTGTTAAAAAATAACAATACTTAACCACTATGCCATAACTTTTTAATTGTAATTATTAAACATTATATTACTTTTAACCAATAACTTAGAAAAATTAAGGGGGACCGGACCCGCCTCAATGAAGATCCGCCCCTGAGTTTAGGGCCTGTTTACTTCAGCTTAATTTCAGTTTAGTTCAGTTCACTTCAGCTCCTAATTTCTTTCTCTCATAAAATATTCATTTAGGCTCTATTCAAGTCAATTCAGCTCCAATCAATTCGGTTTAATTCAGTTCAGTAATTGTGAACAGACCCTTAGTAAAAATATTTTTTTAATCCTTAACTTCAAAAAACAAATATAACAATTAATCCAGTTCAGTAAAAGTAATTTCAGTTCAACAAAGTTAGTTTAATTTAGTAAAAATAAATTTAATTCAACAAAAATAAAGTAAAGAGAACATGACCAACAACTTTTAAAAAACAATTAGAGTTATAAGACTCCGTTCACTTCACCTTATATTTGTTAAATTGAAATTATTTTGGCTGAACTTTTTTTTTTTTTTTTACAAGTATTTTGGCTGAACTTAGTGTCTATTCTCATACGTTTATTTTCAGTTCAGTTCAGCTCCTAATTTCCTTCTCTTATAAAATATTCATTTCAGTTTAGTTTAGTTTTGTTTAGTTTAGTTCAGCTCATCTGATTTCAGTCTATTAGAATAGGCCCTTAGTTACATTTATTGAACTAAAATTAATTTTGTTGATCTGAAAATTATGTTTACTAATTCCCTATTAAAATTACTGATTTTAATGAAATTAAAATTTTTTACTAAATTGAAATTAATTGTATTAAACAATACTCCGTATATTTTTTTAAGGTGAAATAAATTGGGACTAATTAATTAAAGATAGATGGAGTATACGTCTATGAACCCTAACCACAATTCAAACATTTGAACCCAACAAACAAACCAAATTAATAAACCGTGTAACCATATATCAACGTGGCTAATACGGGTTTGGGTTATAGTCAAACTCAACCACAAGAACAAAAAGAAGACAACCAAATCAAAATTGTGTTGGTTTTTGCAGTCTTTTTTTTTTTTTTTTTTTTTTTTTTTTGTTTAATTTAATTTCTTTTTCCAAACATAAACAGCCAATTAACAATCAACGACTCATTCCTTCGTCAATGGTCACCACCAAGAAGACCAACCCACATTATTTTTCATTTTCATCTTTTTTTTCTTAAACAATTCCAAAAACAACTCCCAAATCTCTCACCAAATTCAAATTCAGCCCTTGAAAATTCCTGGGAATTTAATTTTCTTCTTTTTCAATCAATTTAATTCAATTTCAATACCCAACAAAAAAACCCATCAATTTTTGGAATTTTTTTAAAAAAGATTCAATTTGGGGTTTTTTTGCAAGTTGAATAATGATTGATTTAGCTAGGAAATTTCCCAATAATTAATTTCATAGACAAAAAGAGAGAGAAGAAAAGAGCATAAAAAGACCAAGTCTTTCTTCAATCTTCCCCAATTTACACTATTTTAAATAGTATATATACTATCTCCTTCTTCTTCTTCATGCTCTTTAAATCTCTTTTCGTTGATTTTTGGTTTTTGGGTATTAGATCTTGAACATTTCATAGTTTCTTTTAATCTAGATTTGAACTGGGTACTTTGAATTTCTCGCCTTTTTCAGGTATTAATTACATCTCATTATTAATTTTTTTCTAATATTAATTACTCATTACTTTTGAATTACTTTTGTGTAACTTTTAAATTGCTTTTTTTTTTTTTTTTTATTTTATTTATGATGGTTTTAGGATTGATTCTGGAATCTGGGTATTATTTGTTTTTTCAATTTATCATCGTATGAAACTGTAATTGAAGTTAATTGGTTGTTTTTGAATAGATTTTTGGTGAAATTGTTGATGTTTTTTTGAAAGTAATTGTGGGTGTTTCTGGGGTTTTCGTGTGTTAGGTTGGTTTGACTCCTTTGGAGGGAAATGAGTTTTTGTAAAAAGAGGCTTTTTCGTTGAAAGTTGGTTTGACCATTTTGAAGGAAATATGTGTGTTTATATTTACAATTAAGTTTTGTAGTTTTCATGTGGTTTGCGTGATTAATATAAGGTTAACAATTGCAAAATCGAAGTTTTGAAATCAGTAATTTCTTTATGTTGTGTTTCTATATGCTTCATTATCTATATTCTGGATCCCCATATTCCTCACAAGTGCATATACATGATTAAATAATTAAAACTCGGAGAAATTCGTTATATAATCGAAATCTTCTGATTGTTTGTTTGTTCCTATGTAACGATGTTGTGGGTGAAATGCTTTGCATTATTTTGTCTGTTGAAATGAACTCTTGCTGCTTCCATGTTTGGTAGTTGTGAAAAAACAATGCAATAGTTCTTCTAATGGAATTAACTCCACTTTTACAGACTCGGTTCCTTGAGCATTCAAATATCTCAATTTTGTTGAGGTGGTGTTTTATTTCCATCTTGCTTAAGAGTGAAGCAAATAGTGATATTGAGGCCAAAATAGGTCATGTTTTGATTCTTCTGTGATATATTGGCTAAAAGATGAAGGCAACAGAAGCCTGGGGCTTAAGCATGCAAATTTTGCCAATGCATCGCCATCGACATGTTTCTAGGAGACCAGTTTGGATTATTGTGTTGGTTTGCTTGGTCAGCTTTTTTGTGATTTGTGGTTATGTATATCCTCCCGAAAACTCCTCAGCCTGCTATGTTTTTTCACCAAGAGGCTGCAAAGCTTTTCAAGAATGGCTTCCATCTTATACTAGAAGAGAATTGACTGATGAAGAGTTGGCATCACAAGTTTTAGTTCAAGAATTTTTGAGAACTCCTCCTCAACAGACTGAAAATCCTAAAATTGCTTTCTTGTTCTTAACTCCTGGATCATTACCTTTTGAGAATCTCTGGGATGTATTCTTTACTGTAAGTGTATTCTTTATCCTTCCTACATTTCATTGTAAACCTTATTTATGCAATGTTCTCAATTTGGTACGGACAAGCTTAAGGGATGAGCCCTGTCTAAGAATTCCTATGCTATACTATATAGCCTCTAAATTTAGCTAGTGACTATATAGGTCACACGTCTATTCTGTACTTATTAACTTGGGAACCAAGAAATAGTACTTGTATCGGTATAAGATTGAAACGTCAATTTACAATGTACAAGTATTTAAGCTCTGACTAACTGTGTTTTTAGTTTATAATACTAAGTTTATAGCTAGGCCTTAATAATACTACTTGAATTTTGAAGTGTTATAACAGCCAGTAGCTAATGTAGAATAGCTGATACATATTAGTTTTAAAATACACTTCACACTTCTTTCATGTTTCTTTTAGAGCCTTAGAGGCTATGCAGTTAATAATAACTTGTGTTGTCCATTTTTTTAATGATGACTGTTTGGAAGTCATGCAGTTTTGGTGGTTATTGTGGGTTATCTAAGATTAGTTAGTCATAATCCATGTACTTCCTTTTCTATGCTATAAGCTAAGCTATGCGTCTTCGCATTTCTTAGTACCATTTAAGTACTGAAAAATAATGCATCTAGTAGTTCTCTTGTTCTCTTCGCCCTTTAGTCCCATATCATTACAAATTTTTACTCCTATATAAAATCCCATTTTCTCACTGTCTTATGTTTTTTTTTTCTGCCTCTGATCAATCAAACCCCACTTTTTTTTTAACAACCAAATCCCATGGCCCTCCTGAAAAGATGTTTACAGTTTACATAGTTTATTCTACAAAATGATTCCTGGATCACGGAATTAGTTCTGAAACAATCACCAAATCTCTTGTTTTCTTTACCTAAAAAGAAAAGAAAATGAAATTCTACAAGACCATTGTATTAACTAATAACAGTAATAAGTGCATTAATATTGATATTGAGCTCCCAAGTATACAAATTTTAATAATTTTCTCCCTTCAATGACATGGGAACAGAGATGAATTTAATAATTTTCTTCAACAGTTACCAATATTTTTAAAAAAATAATTAAATTTCTGACTAGAATAAATTAGCAATGCATATTTTGCATGTAAATTATCCTATAAATGGCATTAGCTGACTGCTTGTTATGATCTTACCTTAACAAATCTTGTTTAGTCAATGCTGCCAGAGCATAGCTATCATAGTGATAAGATTGATTCTGCTGTCTTCTGAAAACTTTATTAACTGCAATATGTATCTTTTCTATTTCTTATATGTGTACCCTTGCTCCTTTAGTTATTCTTTTTATTTGGCAGTCTCATGAGAGTCATGACTCCTGATGGCAAGTTTAGTTTTTATGTGCATGCATCCTCTTTTAATTTATCTATCTGTTTATTATGCTCTGAGAGTACTCATCTAATATGGCAGGGTCATGAGGGAAAGTTCAGTGTTTATGTGCATGCATCTCAACGAAAACCTGTACATCAGAGCAAATATTTCGTTGATAGAGACATCCATAGTGACAAGGTTTGTACTTTCTAGATTTCACTTAATTTCTTATTTGTACTGAATGTTGTGCTGGTTATTAATTAATCTTTATATTAGTTAAAGGAACCCATTAAAGTGGTGTCACTTTGAGATAAATTGATCAATCATTTTTTGCTTGTACAAGTCGAACTGATTTCTTTTAATGGCACAAATAAATCTGATGAGACATTTTTTGCAGCCCTAATCTATGAAAATTATAAAGATCTGACAATTATGTGAATACATTGTTGCCTTTTGTCACAGGTTGGTTGGGGTCAAGTTTCAATGATAGATGCAGAACGACGCCTTTTGGGCAATGCACTGCGAGATCCTGATAATCAGCACTTTGTATTGCTTTCTGATAGGTGTGTATAGATTGCCTCCAAGTATTTGTTATTGTTCCATTATGTAGCACAGTACCCTTGGCTTCTGATCTAATACTTTTCTTTACTTGCAGTTGTATACCGTTGCACAGATTTGAGTATGTGTACAACTATCTGATGTACACAAATGTTAGTTACATTGACAGGTGAGTTCAGTGAGTTAAACATTTGAGCTTTTATGTTTCATTAATTACTGTATGATGCGGTCCTCTATACAGAAAGGTTATTGCTTGTACTGTTTGCATAGCTTCTTAAAGTCAAATAGATTTGAGTCAGTTTTGAATTGTACATTAATCCTGTTCTTTTGCCTTTATCTGCCAGTTTCTTGGACCCAGGTCCTCATGGAAATGACAGGTATTCACCACATATGTTACCCGAAATAGAAAAAGAGGACTTCCGTAAGGGTGCACAGGTGAGAAATCACATATCATTCCTGAAAAGTGCTTATAATAATGTCATGAAACAACTGCTGCTTCTGAAATTTGGCTTTAAATTCAATTGATTATTATGGTAAGAGAGAGAGAGAGATTTGGGGGGGGGGATAATGGTTCCATTATAGGGTTATATTATTACAAAATCTGCTTAACAATGTTGAAAAGGCCAAACTTTCTTGGTCTTATGACACTGCCTCCTAGAAGTCTGGCACGCACAGAAATTGGCATGTTTAACATCAGATCTTCTGAAAGTTGCAGACTGGTTGAATCTTATTTTGATGCTATATTTTTTGTGTCAAATACTGCATGCTTTAGTTGTCTATTTTTCTGTAGTTTTGGCCATTTTAGAAGCCATTCCACTTTTAGATTCTGTCTGATATGGTAAATTATTCATGCACTTTGACCAAATTAAAATAAATATCATATCTTTTTTGACCGTTCCCGTTAGACAAAGGTGCTTAAATCTCTTCTATCTCATCAAGTCATCATTTTGATAAGCACATAACAGACTTATGGTTGTGTTTTACTACCCCTCTCTGTTTTTTTTTCAAGTGCCCAGTGTTCCAATGAAGAACTTTGACAAATTATATCTTTAATTATAAAAAATTGATATTCAGAAACTATACATTGAAACTATCCCAACAAGTACAAAGTACCCACATGACCACTTGTGTATAAATCACTAACATTGGTCAAAGTGGATTACATACACAGTGCAAAAAGTCAAACTGGGGCTTTAAAAAAAAACTGGGGGAGTATTTTACTTTACAACTTCTTCAAACAATGTCTACATAGATATTTTCTGTCTGAAAATTTCTTTTGTTGTAATAATTATAGCAAAAATAGGTATAAGCTCGTTGCTTTTCATCCTTGACTTGTAAGTATGCATCTTACCAACAGTCTCTTTCTAATCCAATTTATGCCATCTTTTCGGTGAAAATTTGACTTGTGGTTGAAGTGCCTATTGAAGAACGAAAAAAGTAATATTAAATCTGTGCTAAACAGCGCATATAGGCTTGTTGGGAAACATAGGTAGCCTTGTGTTCCGAATCTCATGTAAACTTATGACAATTGGCTTTAGACGGCCTACTTGTATAGCTCCATAACTCTATTATAGATTCTACTTAATAATTATACAGGCTTGTTGGGAATTATAATTAGCCTTTTGTTCTGAGATTTACGTTAACTTGTGACAATTGGTTTGGAATTTAGTAGCTGTTTGGTGCTTCTGTCTACACCGGTTTTCCCCATTATGCAATTTTATATATGCCAAGTTTCATATCATGGTATCTATTATGTACTAATTATTAATGTTACGTTTATGCAGTGGTTTCACTTGAAGCGGCAGCATGCAATGATTGTAATTTCTGATACCCTTTACTATTCGAAGTTTAGAAATTACTGCAGGGTGAGCTCCTTTCTTTTGCTATAGAACATGGCATAAGTGCATATCATTTAGATAAATTTATACGGAGGCTTTTATTTAGGTCAAAGCAAAATGTTGATCGATCTTTTCTCTTAACAGCCTGGCTTTGAGGGACGCAATTGCTATTGTGACGAACATTACTTGCCAACTTTCTTCAATGTGAGTGTCATTAAGAACGCTCTCTCTGTCAAAACCACTATATATTATCTGTTTCAGTCCAACTAAGTTTGTTTTTTGGCAATGCATAGGTTGTTGATCCAGGGGGGATGGCAAATTGGTCAGTAACTCATGTTGATTGGTCTGAACATAAGTGGCATCCAAAATCCTATAGAGCACAGGATGTCAGTTATGAACTTTTGCAGAAAATTACGGTATGATCCTATCTTGTTTATGCAATTAGGTTCATCTTCTCACTTATAATCCATTAATCCCTTAACAAATAGGAATTATCTTAGACAGAAAAAATAAGTTTGAAGAATATATAATTGTTACATTGCAACCGAACATGGGCATATATGGAAGTATTTTCATGTTGATGATTCCCACTCGACTTAATTTGTATGCCCCATTAACCACTATAACCAGCCAAAAGAAATATGACGTAGTTTTTGTTTGGTCAGTTCTCCTAAAGCGAAATGTTTGTGTTTTTTTTTTAATTTATTAATTGCCAGATTATTTCTACTTTTAAAAATTAATCAATCAATTATTTAATATGCTGCTCCATAAGGGTAGTTCTTGGAAATATGTGTGTGCTTTTGGAATATATACTTTAGAGAAACGGGAGGATTTAGGTATTTTTTGTTAAAACCTTGAGGTCTCATTTTCTAGTTCAAGAACAAGATGTCCTGTATTAGAATGCCATTGGTAGGTAACTAGCTTTCCTATGATAAATTGAAAATACCGAAGTATATGTTGAATGTCCTCGTTAGGTGTTGAAAGAATTTCTATGTATTCGGAAGTTAAAATGTCTTGTCATATTTAGGTCAACAAAAGTAAGGCAGTTTTTCAATGTTTTTTAAGTATATAACGATTATTGAATGACAGCATCCCATATCTTAGTATACCTTGATTAAAATACACCTTAACATTTTCTTATATTCCAAGATGCCTAGAGTGATTCTTGTGAATAGAAACAATAACAAGGGAAACAGTCTCGCTGATTTTTGTGTGTTTTAGATTTACTAGGCGTCTAAGCATGATTAGTACTCTCAGTGTATTAACTGTTCTTTATTGGAGTTGTATGACTTATATCAGTTAATCTAATTGTAGAATACTAACAATCTATCATGCTTTTGCTAAAACTAGTTATAATTCTGAACTCTTTGTTATTGATATTGCAGTCTATTGATGAAACTGTGCATGAAACTAGTGAAGCAAAGGTAAATTTTTTTTTTAAAATATATTTCATAAAAGTTGTTAAGACGACTTAATATTTTTATTAAGTTATTTCTGATTTCTGTCATTCAATATTTGCAGAAGCAAGTGATTGTGAAGCCTTGTGTATGGAATGGAGTGAAACGCCCTTGTTATTTGTTCGCTAGGAAATTTTACCCGGAAACTCTGGACATTTTGATACAAATCTTCTCCAACTACACTGCTTCTGTATAAGCAATACAAAAACCAGAGTTTTGCTTTGATCGATGCCTTTCGACCACCTTTTTGTCTCCATACATAGCTTTTCCCGTTGTAAATGTCCATGCCATACAAAGACCTGAGTCTAGCTGATATATTAGCTGCCTGGAACAAGAGTATTATTCTTCAAAGGTTGCTACTCGGAAGATTCAATGTCTATTCTTTTCCCCCCAGTATTCTTCTGTAATTTTGCCGATGTAACAAACATTTTATCAGATATTGACACAGTTGAGGGGATCAATTCTTAGATAGATATAGTAGAACTAGCTTGCAGATTTTTACTGTATTTTGCTTCAGCTAATGGTAGCAATGCTAAGTTTTTAATCTAATACTCCGTAATTTTCCCTCTATTGGTTTTTATCTTCTTTCAGCAGTCAGTAACACAGACAGTGAATTCAATTGGGTATACACTATATAGTACGCCAAACATTTGACCGCTGTATATTCAATCGGATACTTCTTTTGCCAATTTTTCAACACATGGCTCATTTGTCGTTGCCACAATGTAACAGAGAACAAGATAGCAAAGGAACAAACACGCAGCATTTGCATCCTAGGCTGGGACGAAACAAAATAACTAAATAATTCTTCAGCCTTACCATTCTCGACATCTCTTAAGCTTTAGCCATTGGCACATTGCCCAGGGTGGCTATACTTTTTCGAACATTTAGGGCTAACTTCAGAATTTAGATCTTAACTTGCTGCTGTTAATACTCTTGATGATAGTATAACTGCACTCTCGGCTACTAGTGTAAAATGCTGCACTCAAAGATAGTGAGAAATAAACCTGGTCTTTTAAAAATTTGTCCAATTCCTTTTGATTTCCTACTGTTCTAAGGCAGTAAGAGCATATCATAATATTGTCAAAAGGTGTTCATAATTTCTTTAGGATTTTGAAAGAATTTCAAAGAGATAAATTCAGCACCAAAGTACTTTAAACAGTCCCTTAAAAAATCAAAGAGATAAATTCAGCACCAAAGTACTTTAAACAATCCCTTAAAAAAAAAAATTGTATCCTAAGAGTGTTTATAAACTCTCCCCAATGTTGTGTTATACAATTAATGACACTAAGCACTCTTCATATGGGGGCTAGAATTTTACTACTCCAAGTAAACAATAAAACTCTAAACACTATCCTAGATCGAATTACATGGAATAGGAAACTAACATAATTAAAAAAAAAACAAATGATGTTTCCCATTTAACAAAACACTATTATCTAAATACAATCTAATAAATGTAGGAAACTGATGCAAATTTATCTCCTAATGAATTACCTAGTGTACATAAAAATGAGCAAGCATTGCAAGCAATTGCAAGCATCCATGTCACTTCAACCACTTGGACACTGGGAACTGGTAGGCAGCAGCACGGACTAATTTGACACAAGCATTGCAAGCATCCATGTCACTTCAACCACTTGGACACTGGGAACTGGTAGGCAGCAGCACGGACTAATTTGACACAAGCAGGAAGCGGACTGGGCTGCCTCAGTCTTAGTGAACCTCTCCTCTCAGTTGGCTTTGAAGTTCCTTCAAAACCTAAAAAACCCGGAAACCACCTCAGCATCACTTACCATACTGAGCCTGTACTCTACAGTTCCTGAAATGATAGGAATACGTGCCTCCTCAATCCCACTACCAAATATCAATCTTCCCATCTATTCCCAAGCCTTTAAAGTGCCAAACACAGTAATATATATTCCCACTACCTTCTTAATCTTCATCATCTGAGCTTCCCTCATCACTGGTATACTCATCACTATCATCATCTTGATCCAAAATATCAATCCGAATATGCGGCACTTGTATAGGTTCAGGTGCCCTCGGAAACACAGGTGGAGCAGCAGGCAGTGGTGGTTGTTGACCAGCTCTAGCAGCCATAGGAAGAGATTCCAATGGGGGCAAATTGATCGGATCTCCAGGCTTCCATCCAGCTGGAGGTAATGGTATATCCGTAGGAAGTTCCACAGGCATACCAGGTTTCCAACCAGCTGGAACTGTAATATTTGGAGGCATGAGGCCCTTAATTGCAGCCATGGGGTCGGCAGGTGGTAAAGCAGGGGTCTCGATGAGGGGTTCAATCTTTTTCTCGTCCTCCACTGTTTTAGGTAGCCCTACATCGAGATCAACAAAGGCATAGAGTTGGGAGGCTCGCATTTGGTCCTCCTGCGGAGCAGGTGGGAGAGCCCCACGAAGTGGCCCCCCTGCACCAAACTCAGGTGGTGCAAAGGTTGTATAGCTGATTTTGTGAGCATATGATATGACATCTGACAACTTTAACTGAGAAGCAACAGTAGTATTGCTGGAAGAACTATCTGAATCTTCTGATTTTAATCTTTTTGGACGGCGATAATCAGCATAATCATCAACCAGAATGTCAAGAACCCGCTCAGCTTCTTTAAGCTTCTTAGCAAATGAAAGAATAGCAGAATCTTTGGCCTCGATTTCCTGGTTTAACTTTTGTTTAGCGTCTTGAAGATCAAGGATTTCTTGTAGCTCTGCAACAGCTTCAAATAACTGAGTTTGAAGTGATGTGAAAAGGGCAATAATTTCTTTAGTAGTAGATGTAGAAGCGTCGATTGGGGGAGTGGTTGTAGAATGGGTTTGAGAAGGAAGAAAAGTTGGAAGAGAGCTACGAAAGGAGTTAACCCAAACAGAACGATTAGGTGATACCTCAAAGAGCTTGGCAGCTAAGGCTGCCATTTGCACCAGAAGTGCTTGGGCCCTTTGAAGAGGAGGAAGAAGAGATAGAAGAGTGGATGAGGTAGTTTTTGGAGTTGGTAATACAACCTGCTGATGGGATTGGTTAGACTGGGTGGGTTGCGAAGAGGACTTGGTTGCACTGGGACTTTGAAGAGCCGGTGAATTCGGATTCGACAGGCCAAGCCTAGCCGGCGATGGTACAACCTGATGTGGAAGACTTTGTAACATTTTGAATACGTTATGCTCCCTGCTCAACAGAACATAAAAATTCACATAAAAACATCCAACTCTGCTAAAACTACTACGAGTAGTAACCAATATATCAAAAGCTAGGAAGCATAAAAATTCCCAATTGTTTCCGAAACCCAAACATTCCGATGGCCATCCCCGAGCCAGGGCAGGAGGGGCAACCGCCCTAGGCCGGCAGTGGCGGACCTAAAAATTTGACAATGGGGGACAATTTCAATCCCAAATCCATTAAATAATACAATTCGGTTACATACTACTAAAAATATCATCCGAGTCTTCATTATATTCTTTGAAATCGATCAATGATATCTTTATCGGGGACTTGTAAAAACAATGAAAGTAACCAAACAATCATAAAAATTCAACAAAACATAAAAATTCACATAAAAACATCTAACTCTGCTAAAACTACTACCAATATATCAGTTAGGAATTCCCAATTGTTTCCAAAACCCAACCATTCCGATGGCCATCCCCGAGCTAGTAACCAATAATATATCAAAGAGCTCTGATTTCACAGTCAAACCCTAACATTAAAGTGTTGTGCAATACATTAGCAACCAAATTTGATTCATAATTTTAGGGATATTTGATTCAATTATCGATTTCATATTTTAGGGATTTTTGATATGATGATAACAAGTACAAACAGCTTACCTCAGAAGTAGTTGCTTCAATGGGGGATACAAGAACTAGATTCACGCCAACTGCGCTTCAATGGAGAACGCCAACTAATCTGAGAGAGAGCAATTCTATGGATCCCTATGACCCGTCACTGTTATTAAAGGAATAGATACGTCAAATAAAGTACGAGTAATAAGGAATTTTTTTTTTAACAAATAAATATAGGAAAATTTATTACAAAGAATATCAACTTTCACGGATTCGTTTTAAATAATTCTAACTTTGACTGTATTCGGTCAAAATAGGCTCATGTGACCGGTAACCTATTAAGCATGTAATTTATTTATTTTTGGTAAGTTAGTTGACACGTGTCATTGTGTTAATGGTTGAAAATATAATTAAAAAAAATAAAAAAACCTAACCCCATATGGCCAAGCCCCCAACCCACGACAAACACCGTCGTCAGGCCTGCCATCGGCCTAGCCCAAGTCCCCGACCTCAGCTTGATGAGACCCTCCCACACGCAGTCACGTTAGCCCACGCCAGCACCACCCTAACCGACACCCCTTTCCCTCAAACAACCAATCCCGCAACCTTCACCAAATCTTTAAAATACCATCCCCACCGCTAAAAACCACCAATCGCCCCTCTACCACCATCGAAACCCTTGCGTTAGAGTTCCGATGGTGGTGGAGGGGCGGCTGGTGGTTTTTTATGCGGTGGCGGAGGTGTTTTAGGGATTTTGGGTGGTCGAGTAGGTAGGATTTCGGGGATTTTAGGCTACGAAATTGGAGGTTTTGGGGGAAAAGGAGCTACCATCATGAGCTACAAACCGTAGCTCGCACGGGCTTTATCTAGTCAATAACTATATACTAAAAGATACACAAGCAATGACATCTTGTATATCCTTAGAGGGTTTTTTTTTTTTTTTTTTTGAAAATTCTATTTAAGAAACAAATCTTTTACATATATAAAATAATAATTGATTATAAAGTATAATACTGTAAAAGAATATTAACCAATTAATACTCTACAATTAAAATATGGATACTTCAATAAGACAATAATACTTGCCAAGAATGACACATAAACATGTTGAGTTAATCTTAGTGTGATTATTTCTTGTCATTTTTATTGTTCCATTGAATTGATACGAATAAAACATAAAAAAAAGTCAAAAATTACAATAATATAATGTTAATTTAAAAAATAATTGTTAAAAATTAGATCTAACCTAGATTTGGGAAAAGTTATCCCTGAATAAATAAAATCATTTATGTTTTATTGATAAAATTTATTTTTGACCAAAAAAATAACATGCGTCATATGTTTTAATTGTTGTTTTGTTCCCAATTTTCAATTCAAAAATTATGTGTTTGAACCTAATGGGATAGGTGCATAATGACATAATTCATATCCATATGACCATACCAAAAGCATAAAACAAGTGCATAAAATGATAAAATAACGAGCCACTCAAGGATATGAGAGCCGTCTCAAAAGATAATATAGCAGAGTTAGTAGGGAAGCCTTTGCTAGTTTGCTACGGTGCACCGTGCAGATGCTTAAGAGTATGCTTCCTGGAGTTCAGCAGGAGGATGGTAATAATGATACAACTTTTAGCACTACTAGACCAAATTGCCTACTAACAAAATCAGGGAAAAGAAGAAATTTTCTTTACTATATACGGACTGAATTATTATTACAATATACAAACTTTGGGATACTTTTGTGTCTAGTTGCCTGGTACAAAATCTTTTCTACCTTTCTGATTCGTACAACACTGAGATAGAATACGAGGTTACTGTCTACTATTTACAGGCTCTTAACAAAATTCACATTTAAGTGTAAGGTCGACTGGCTGCACATGTTCAAGTTGCTTCTACATCACAAAAAACGAGAGATGGATATAAGCAGTAACATTCCCAGGAAGGCAGGAACAACTCTATGTGCACTCATGAGTCATGACAGCCAGGTCATTTTTTCCGATATCTCTATATTAGGTCTCTATAAGGGGAATGGTATGTGTGCATTGTCCAATCAAGTAAAATGTCCGTTTCTCTGTATTCCACCCAGTTTCTATTTGCTCGTATGCCCTTCAGAGGCCAAAAGCATTTCCACGAATAAAAACTCCTGGGTTAGCATGTCCTTGGCTTGATCAGGAATGAACCTGAACATCGAGGCCAACATCTGTTGCAGAACAATCTTCTGGAAGTCAAACAGATTTTGCTTTTGCAGAAAGATTGGTGCTCAGTTGAAGAAGTATGGTGATTCAAGGACTTTTTCCAATTCGAAGTTCCCTCTTTCTGGTAGAGGTGGGAAGGTAGATTCTGGATAAGATTCCTGGAAGCTTTGAAGCAACTGCAAACAAACCAGAGAGTTTTAGGGAAATTAAACAAGCAACTGCAAACAAACCAAAGTTAAATGCATCCCTCTGAGGCTCCGACCCTTAAGAAAGTATGCATCTAACTATTATCACTGAGATTGAAGAAAATAAAAACACTGCCAGGTACATAACTTTTAAAGGATTCAAATTAAACCATAAACCCTTACATTTTCAAGAATGGGCATGCTATACAGCTCCACAAACTTTTCTCGAAGAATTTGATTCATCTTTTCCACATCACATGCATGAGTCCAAAACGAATCATGCACTCCTGCAAATACATATATTTCATATGTCAGGTCATCTACAACAAAAAAAATATGTTTTCCATTACAAACTCAAAGACCAGAGGACTACAGGTCTACAGCTACACAAGAGATTTGGAAATTCATCTAAGTTAGAATGGATATTTATACACTGATCCAACTTCTAAGCACTAGCTGTTCATTTATCAAATCCAGGAATAATATTAAGAACATAATTAGGCAACATTATGATAAAATAAGAAACCTGCAAACTGTAAACCAGCATCCCTGCATGCCACAGCAGTCATCATCATGTGAGTTCCATCAAGTGAGTGAACATAGTTTGGAGGAAATGCAGTCCTTTGTTTTTTGACTTCAATCTGCTTGTCAATTTAAATCATTGTCAGTCATATGCAGAAAGCCTCAGGGAAGAGAAGAGGGTGGGGGTGGACATAAGCAAAACAAGAACTTACCCCTTCACCTTCTTTTTGCAAGGCCAAAACCTGAAGCGATGTTTTAATCTGTATACAAGCAAAGAATGTGGTCAGTAAGATAGTGGAAGCTGGAGCTTGGGTTGATCTGAATAACAGTCAGAGAAGCTCAATTGAACTAAATGAAACCTTCAAATGTCAGAAATTGACAAATAGAACATTTATAAAGTGCGTTCAACTTTGAGAAAATAAGTTGTTACATACGAAGTATGAGTTTTAAGATTAGAAAGTGTACAGAACACTTACAGAAACTCTAGAACCTAGCATCATTATATTGCAGGCATCAATTATTGGTTGATCAAACAAGAGGAATTCTCCTTCGCACCTAAAATGGTGTGGTAAACCCCCACCCCCTTTCAAAAAAAAAAAAAAAAAAAAAAAAAAAAAAAAAAAAAAAAAAAAAAAAAAAAAAAAAAAAAACCAACCCAACCCTAAAAAAAGAAAAGAAAAACAAGTTGAACCTCAGGCAAAACATTATTGCTTTACATCTAATCATTATTTTGGTGACCTACCTTCAGCAAATGCACTAATACCAAAATTAAAGTGGAAATACAGATGAAAAGCAAGAAATCATGCTTATTCAATGTCTTTTCCCTATAATCCATTTTATTTATTTTTTTGAATAATTCAATTTAGAATACTTCTGATTCCATAGACTTGAGCACTGTACGAGTGTAAGTCAATCTCGAGTCCTATTCAACATAAATGTAATAAAAGAGACCCTGAGGCTAGACGTTTGTTACATTAATCTTACAGCACCACAATTCCTAGCATGAGCAGAACACTTTCCAAATCTTAGCAAATTACATCCCTTCCCCCCCCCCCCCCCCAAAAAAAAAAAAAAAAATTAACGTTGATTCTACCTCGTCTCTTTCAATCCCTCAATATGGTCTACTCCTGTCTCCTCATTAAAGCATCTGAATGCCACCTATAACAACTGGGAACAATCTAAGCCATGGCCATATGCTTTACCCTCTCAAACCTTATCTTCAGCATAGGCAACACCTTATCATTACACATACCCATTAAGCATCCCTATCTCTCACAGATAACATACATAGTTGAGCTATCTTATTAGAATATATTCAACATATATTTCCACCAAAGGCTCACTTATATAGCTATGAAGTTTTAGTTCATTTTAAAATAAAGCATTTCACTAAAAGTTCGACAATTATTGACCCATCTTGAAAACTAGGACCCTTAATTGATCATACAGATATTTTTGCAAGTGAAAAGAGTAGCCAGCCAGAGTCAAATTATGAGATAGGACACTCACAAGATGCCGTTTACTTTTACAGTATGGTTGTACAACTGGCAGACCAAGAGGAGTAGTCCAGCGAACAGGTTGATTTTCAGAAGCAATAACCTGTAAAGGCGGACAAGTCATGGTAGAGCTACTAAAATTTCATTCTGCTAAATTCATTACAATAGAAGAACCCCTACCTTTGCACAATCGCCAAGCCAATCCATTATGCTACGTGCAGCTTGAAATAATTGACCGAGGGCAGACATTGTTACCTAGGGAAGGATAGTATCGTAATGCAAAATTATTAAACAAGCATTATTGTCAAAAGAAAATATCACAGACAGTATGTATCACTTCTTACCTTAGCTGAATAGCAGGCTGCAGAAAAAAGAAGCCTATCATCAGTGATAAGACCCTTCTCCTCTAATCTCCTCTTAATTTGCTCCCTTGCCCCAACAAATGTAACACCATAAACAGATGTCATAACTGTCTGCTTCACGAGTTTGCGGTCCACCTGAGATGCGTACAGCTTTCTTTATCAGAAGATATTAATAAGAGGCTAAGAGCACAGAACAGCCAATACTATCAAGCACATAGTTTATACAGGATAATACATAAACTACAAAACAAACATATGCACAATGGGATATGATCATTTAAAGGATGTACAAGAACCTGATCGACTAGGACTTTGGCTAACAAAGCACTTGGGTATGTTTCAGGGTCTTGCCTGCTATCCTTTTCCATAATTTCACGAACCCTGGAAAAAAAAAATTTAAAATAAAATAAAATAAAAATTATAGAAGATAAAAGATTTACCAAATTTTCTATAGTCGGCTTTCCTTCAGTTAGTAAATTCTTACTGAGAGAGAATATTACTAAGCCAATCAACATAAAATATGTTTCCAAAAGATTATTACTACAACCATTCTTTTCTATTCTCTTTTTATTCTTCACTTTATAAGTTCCATAATAACAACCTTTATGTAATAAAAAAGTACATTTTCATGCCATTGAATAATATCCTTTCAAATGTCTGAAACACAACATAATTCCTAAGTTCTTATGACAAGGCTACAATCCAGGGTGCAACCTAATTACCTTGCAGCAATTTCTGAGTACACATCAGCAGGTTCCTGTCCAGCTACCAAATTTACAGCTGCTGCTTCCTTCTGTAAAAAGTAACAAAAATACTTGAGACATGTAGGCATTTGACCGGACAACAGAAACTAATAGTACAACATTCACTCCTAAAAATTCAAAAAATAAGAAAGGCCAACAATGTACTACAAAACTTTTACATAACATATAATAGTAACATATTGAATTGATGTATACTATGACAGATATAAAAAAGCTTGATTCATTTTGTTATAAATGTTTGTGAGTCTTTCTCCATCTGCACCTTGAAGAAACCAAAAAAAGGGAAGTAACATAGATTAATTTTTTGTAGTCATGTTCCTCTCCTATCAGCTATACAACACCCAGATGGTATGAACAATTATATAAGGATTAAGCATATTGCAAAAAAAAAAAAAAAACACTTTTTCTTTTTATCATAATTAAATTTTTATGATCCTAGGAAAACAAAAGGTAAGTCATTTCAGGAAAGAGAAGCAAACAAGTATAGCAGGGGCACAGGAGCCATAGAGGACATACACTATCTCTTCCCAAAGCAGCATAATGCTGCAGGCCATTGCATGAACCATCCTGAAATAAAGGTTATGAAAACAATTTAGGTAAATATGCAATAGTATGTGACATCCAGACAAGAAAGGATTTGGGAAAACGATATCATGATGTCCTTGGAGTATTCCTCTTTATCACTGGACAATATTCTCAGAAAATAGGAAATAGGATAAACACAATTCAGAGATTATTATCACTTGTAGAAATAAGAGCTCTGAGTTCCTAAAATTCTTAGCATATAGAAGCGTGGGCAAGTAGAGAATATAACTTCCTTGCCCACTATCTTAAAGGGCATAATGGAAAATGATAGATACAGAGTTACCATTCCTTTAACAAGCAAGTTAGAAGTGATAATATACATGGCTTACCTGATGTATAGGAAGATGGGAGATGAAAGTATATGGTGATGAGCTGTTCAGGGCTCCTGTAAGATCAATGCAAGCAGCTAAGCATTGAAAAGGGTCTTCTGCACTTAACCACCATCGATTTCCATTGATAGGGTCGCTTGCTGAGTCAAATATTTGAGCCAGATGATTTTCTACAAAAGCTACACGTGCCTCGTACGAAAGCTTGTCGACACCACCAGCATATACATTCGCTAAGTGAATTTTCAGCCACTGTAATCCAGACTTCCCCAAAGGTCGTCCTTCCGCAAACTCAAGCACACCTCGGCAGAGATCAGAACTTAGATGATTTAGATGTGGATGCATGGGATAAGCCCGACCACGGAAATCAAGATTATGAGGATAATAAAAGCCTTCCTCATCTCTCATCTTCTGAGCAACCTGGTACACCAAAGCCAGCAAAAATAATCAAGTAGGCTGATAAAAGATAGAACATTTTTTTAATCGAAGGTTTACTTATATCTTTCACCTGTTTTATAGAAAGATGCTTAAAATCCATAACTGACACATTTTACATCATTAAAAAAAAAAAAAACTAATTTCAATCCTATAAAGGCTAAAGCCACAGATACAAAAAAATCTCAGGGCCACACATTAAAAATCAAACATCTGTCTTCAGCCAAAATCAGATGCCCAGTCCAATTATCATTCAGATTAGGAGAAATTTTCCTAATATTTAACAAGTTACAGAGGAGGATTTGTCTAGCAAAATCAAGAAGAAGGAAAAAGAAAGGTCCAATCACACTTTACATCCAATAAACATGAGCGTGAACCGCTAAAACAGTACCCTTTCTCATTAATGAAACTTCACTAGAAATCCATCTCCATAATTTCAAAAGTAAAACCAACGATGTACTCACAATGTCCTGCCCAGAAAGCAACAAAACCCCCTTTTCTTCCTTATCTGTCATTAACAGTAAGAAAGTGTTGACACCTGAGAGTTAAAATTCCATGGACATATGTAGCAAGCATGTTTCCCTCTTGACATATTTTACCCATTTCTATGACGACCATAGGTAATTTTAAGATGCTCTGTGCCAAAAAATAGCTAGATTTTTGCAGATATCACTATAGCCATATTTACACCAAAGTGATTATTAGACACCAAGTAACCAAAAAATCAAAACTCCCTTTCTTTGAGTGTATAACCACATTCCCAATTCAGTAAGTGATCTCTTCTCACCCTCCCATCTCTGAGACTCCAAAAGAACAAAATCTTCTGAAGGCTAAATCTCTCCCTATATACTACTTTCTTGAGTTCTTCAAAGAGAAGGGCACTCCAAAATGAAGATAGCTATGAAAATAGAGATCATAAATCCAGACTGAAGATGAAACATAGCAACACATTTTCCATAAATCTCTGCATGCACTTGGAAGATTCTCACAGCTCCCGTCAAATGACACATCCCCACTATCCTCAATTCCTCATATAGAAAAGTTGTAGTTGGCAGCAATCAATTGTGCCCTCAACATTTACACCTCAGCTCTCAAGCAATATTGGTGTTCACCCAACAAAGCCTGGTTGAAGAACTTTTGAAGAAAGATCATTGTTTTTATTTTCGAGCCATTATAAAGTAAATAGGTTGGAAACTGAAAGCTCTTTTTTTTTTTTTGGTGTTAATTTCAATTTCCAAGTATTTGATTATTAAATCTCAAGGATTGTTTTTTTATTTATTTGTTTGAATGTGTTTTTTTTTAAAAAAATTTATCAAGACATGCAACTACAAAATGGAGTAAACAGCTTCCACCTGTTAATTTTTGGTTCCCAAGGAAACAAGGCCATATATAGATGATCAAATAAAGCTAGCTTTGACACCTTTCACACTAACTTCCGATAAACTAAAATATCTAATGCTCAAGATAATTAGCTTATAAATAGCAGAGAATAAAAACATACAGAAAGTTTAAGTTCAACGTCACATCTTAAAGCATGTCTCTCTCTATTGATTTTCTTTGCTTTCCTCACACTCCACTTCCATGTATCAATTTCTGCTGGATCTTCTGTCAGTGGCTTTTCAGGCAAAGGAACCTGCAAATGTGGAAATTCAAGCAGGATGAGCACACTAGAGAAAAAGGGAGAGTGAATAATGAAGATATAAAGGAAAGGCCTCATCCAACAGAAAACAGAACATGGGAATACTGACATCCTCACAGTTAACAAGACCGCCAATGTTGCCACCACTAGCCCATAGACTTTCCACCACACTAAGAACTTTTCTGTTGATTCTCCATTTTGTGTGTCCAAGAGTATTTAAGGCCTGCACAAATGCAGAGTAGGTATGGGATTACAAGTTTACAGAGTAAGAAGCCTGTGGCTCAACAGAGATATCTATCAATGATATCAGTGTGAACAGCAAAAGTTCTTGACAGATGCAATGTACTCAAGGATCTAGCAATTAATTTTTTAATCCATAATGATCCAACTCAGCTAAGTTACATTTACAAGAGAAATTGAAGCTAGTTATCAGCACTCAAATGCTTTTTTCCTTTTGTCAAAAACACTTTGACAGGTTCATAAAACATACAAAATGCTCAAAGCTGAGAAGTTCAGAATACATGTGTAAATGAAAAGCTGGACGTATTCACACAGTACAATCTCATGTTGTGAAGGATTTGCAAAAGAATTAAAGAATATACAAATGACAAGAGTTCAGTTTATTGCCTAGGAGAATTACCTTTAGTGGAAAATTCTCCTGAAGTTTTACTTAGATGATAGGAAACACCAAAATACTGAACTTAAACCATAACACAGGCACAGTTTGTATACTATTCAAGAGAAAATTCAAAATCATATCAAGTACGAATGAAATCTCCGCTATGGATAATTTCGCAAGCTGAAGTGTTCATTAACTTCAACGAGTAACAGCATCCATCCCCTCTTAAAGCCATCAAGATAGATAAGAGAATCTCCAATTTGAGCTCAGAATGATAAATAGATAGAGTATTCAATTTATCTTACAAATTCTATTTTCATAAAAATATAAAACAAATCCATTTAATTAGAACAGCCAGACTCAGTAACTGTAGAGGATTTGAGCATTTGTTTGACAAGACACAAGACTAAAATAGTGAAACCAGTCCAACTGTCAGAAAAAAAAAAAAAAAAAAAAAAAAAAAAAAAAAAAGACATATTGGTACACAATTTAGATGCACGTTTAAGTGTATAATCACACAAACAAAAAAACGGAAAGCCAAAAACCTGCAAACTTGCACCATAATGAACTCGGGCTAGTTAAAATTTTGAGCAAATAATAAATGGAAAAAAAAAAAACGCCATTTAAATAAAGACTAAGGGGATCTATTCTGCAGTACCTCAAACACTTTCTGCATCTGCTGCGGTGGAGTTTTCCTCATCGCCTCTTGCTGCTTTCTTGAACCATGCGTTCGCATAACATAAGATGGTAGGAACAAGTAGCCACCCTTGTCATACCTGGACAAAAATAATATAGAAGATGCCAATTCTAGTAAGCAAATAAAATTATTGGTATATATGGGAAAATAGTACAGCATATTCTAAGTTACATACATTGTAGCTTGTTCAGGATTGATTGACAACAGATCATGTCAGAATATATGAAATATATAATACGAAAATACCTTCTCTCCTTATGATCATATTCTAAGTCTCAAGAGGTTTTTTTTACACTCTATAGTCCATCCAACTTCCAAATTTGCCATTTTTTTCACATAAATATCATTTTTCACTGCTTACTAAACTATTCTTTGAGATTGTTTCTTAAAGATTACCCCTTTCAGAGGTGAGGAATTTAGAGTAGGATGACAATAAAAGTTTAAAAAACGCTACAGAAGGGTAGAAAAGGGGAATAGTTTCCATACTTCTGTGGAAGATAACTAATCAAGGATTACTAAGAACATTACTGTAAAATAAATTATTCAAAAAACAATAAGAAAGAAGATGTGTATACCCTTTCCAATTCTTTGGAGGTATCAACATTGGAACATAGGGAATAATCATGTATCGAGCCTGCTAAAAAAAAGCAGTAAAAGTTTGTTAGGTTATGTAACCAACTCTAGAATCACTTAATTATTTTGTACAGCAGAATGTAAAAAGTTACTGCAAGTGCATTTGGCTTTAATAACTTAGTGCAATATTATATGGGGAACTGTTCACATGCAGTTAAAAAATGCATATGTTTTGTATATGTCTGATAACAATGAACAAGAACTTACACTCCTATCAATCCCTTTCAGAACAAGCGGGTCACATTCTATAACTCCATATCTTTTCACCACTTGCTGCCTTCACAAAGTAAAAATAAAAAGTCAAAGAGTGAGAAGTTACTGAGATTATTATAACCAAACCACTATCTATCTTCAAGAAAGCTTCACCACAATGACACAATGTCATATTATCATTTATGATGTCTAATGTACATTCTTCCTCCAAATCATAATGTTATTCATTGTCCATTGAGGTGGCATCCACCATAGACTAAGAAACAGAGCTAATACACTAAACTTCAAAATTTTAGCCAGAAAGGCCAAATAATAATGTAGCATATCAACAGTGCGGTACACAAATTACATGTATGGTGAAGCAGCTTTCAGAAGATGAAAAGTATAAAATTAAATGCAACTCACCCCATGTCATTGTTCAAAATTTTGAATTTGTGCCTAAACGCAGGTCGTACATCAGGTGGATTGTCAGCTGATTGCTTACTTGGATGCTGAACATAAGCAGTGTCAATCAGCAACTCAATCAGACGACTACCCAGCTGCACCATCATGGAAAGCAAATGTCCATCGGAATCAGAAAATGGCATAAAAGAATGTGCCTTACAAGTATAACTATTACAAGAAGAAAAGTTATCACCTTAGCTTGAGTGTCTTGACTCCATGACTTGTTATCTTCAGAAGTCACCAGCTTTGCTGCCTCAAATAGTCGTTTCTTCTTAACTAAGCTCTTCACGCGATTCCGCTGCAGTTCCTTTTCCTTTAATAAATCCTCTGGCATTTCACTTGCATTTTTACGTATATTCTTGGTTTTCTCCAAGAAGCTGTGAATTTTTATCTGATTCCAATGACGAGGGGAAAAATTACAGAATGATAAGGAAGAAAACATGCAAGACTGAAACACAGCTTCAACCCAAGACCAAATATATTATACAAACAATTCTCTATCAATAAAATTAAAGCAGGAAATAAATATGACCACTTAGCAGATACCTTCTTAGTGGGGAGCTCCCTTAAAAAGAGACCTAAAAGAGTAAAAGCTAGTTTAAAGAGGAAATGATACTCCATAAGAGGGTATACCCCTAAGGACCTAAGTTTCCCCCCACATCATCAGACTAGATAAGTTCCAAACACTTGCATACGAAACAGTAATCTTGCTACTGCATCCTACTTCAGTTTTGCCGATAACTCTAGACTAGAAGTAAATGGTTTTCACAGAATCTGCAGAAGCCCCTTGCCACAAAGACTAATTCTAGACGCTAAATGCCAAATCCTAAGCTACAAAACTTAAAGAAGATCTTTCCCCTAATGTAATGTTCCTTCAAAGATTATATAATTTACTAGGAGAACATAATCAATTCCCTAGATGCCTAACCACTCAACTACTCCTCTAGCAATATGATACTTCTCTAAACAAAGGACATCAATAATCTAAGGAAAGTACAGGCAGTTTGGAATATTCTACAGGTCACACAATAGTTGAAAAGAGGAATGATGATACAATCGACCCACACATGATAGCCTGAAACCGACATAAGCGTGCAAGATAACTAAATTGTAATGGCAAATAGAGAGCAACTACAATGTGATGTCAATGGTACCAAAAGCAAAACAAATCACTCCTCAAAGAACTTTTAATCCATCTACCAAAAAAACTTAAGCCTATACTGAAATGCAGACACATCAAACGCAATCGTTTATCAATCATTCTAAATTCAAATCAATTAACTAAGCAGACTCAAATCCAAAGCACAAGCATCAACTAAACATAAGTAAATAACTAGTGGAGGGTGATTAAGCAAACACCTCCTGCTCAATAGCAAGCCCAATTTGAAGAGCAGCCTGAACAAGCCGAACACAGCCGGCTTCATTACCAACCATAAGCAATGCCATCATCTTATGCATAACAATAACAGCCATCTTATCAGCTGGCAACATATCAATATGATAGCCATAGATAGCCTTTTGTTTCCTAGACCTTTGCAACTTTTGTTCTTTTTCAATTGCCTTCTTCAAAGGCTCAAACCAACCTAAAAACAATGCCTTAACTTGTGGCAAATTAGGTGCCAATTTCTTATCCCTCATTTCCCTCACAAACTCCCTATACTCCTCCACCATACTCTCCCACGCCTCGGTCTCGGCTTTAATCTGTCTCCTCCTCAACAAATTATACTTCTCTCTCTCAATCTCCTTGAATTCTAACCTCAACCCAGTATTCCTATCAACTAATCCTTTCATAAAAAGGGTATTCACCCATGGTGGGTCATGCATAAAAATCCTATGACTAGAACCCTTAATTTTCTCTGAATTTTGAAAATACCCATCAATTTTTTCAGCTAAATCTTCCTCAGGAGAGTCCAGAATTATCTGGGATTGTATAGAAGGCTGGAAAAAACTGTTCCTATCCAATTTTGGGTTTAAGCAAGGCAACAAAAGGGTAGCAGGAAAAGAGGTTGAAGAAGAAGAAGGAAATGGGGGTTCAACCCTCAATTGTTTGTTGGAAAGTGGGATGAATAGAGAGAAATGGGTTTGAGCTTTCTTGTGGGATTTCAATGGTTTTCTCCATTGTTTTTGAATTTGAATTTGTGGGATTGGAGAGAAGGAAGCAGTGGAAGACATTGTTGGTGAAAATTCGAAGTTTTCTTGGAGAATTATACAGGAAAAGTGGGATTTGAAGGAAGATTGAAGAGAAGAAAGAGCAATAGGAAGTAGAAAAACCAGAGATAAACCCAGAGCAAAGAGAAGAATGGTGGAAAATGGAGATAATGGTGTTTGTTTGCCGCGACAAGTTGAGGATAATCCAGGCTTTGCTAATAGCGGGACCATATCTCTTGATTTTTTTTTATTTTTTTTTTTTTATTTTTTTCATTTGGATATTTCTTTTTCTTTTATTTTTGGGAGTCTAATGTCCATGCCGGGCGTAGCAAACGGATCGGTCGGGTCGGGTAATATTCGGGTTTGGTTAATACTGAATAGTAGTGCTCGTAGTTGAGTGAGTATGGTTTAAATGACTCGTAAGAGTCGAGTTGGATTGAAAATGGGTTGTCTTAACTCTAATTGAGACTGGATTTTAACATTTCAAACTTTGGATTACTTCAAATTAGAGTTATTCATGGACAGTTCGACCTGCTAGGCTCGGCCATCCGCCCCGTTAAAATTTGGGCTTGGACACCTTTATTAAAAATAAATAAATTAATGTACAAGATAAGCTCAGCCCGTTAGTTGAAATGGGCGGGCATGGACAATGGTAACTATATTTCGGGCCGGCTTGTTCGGCCCGTTTTATAAATTATTAAATAATATTTTCTTACAAAAATATATATAATAAAGGATACTAGATAGCTAAAAGAGTCTTTACATATTCAATTGTCCTTTATCTCTCTCCACAACATAAACAAAAATACCCCTAAATTTAACATCTTCATTTTTACATTACTTCATAGTTCATACCATATATACTCTTTAGATTTTAAGATTTTAAACCATCAATAATTATAGGTTGCAAATTTTTTTAAGAAACAAATCCACCAAAAATAACAAAGGTCATTAGGCCCATTAGCTTATGGACAAGCCCGGCCCGTTTAAAAGGGTGGGTATGGACAACATGTTAAGCCCACTAAAAAAGGGCTTGGACTTGTATATTAAGCTCGTTGGACAAAATTATAGAATTTGGCCCGGCCCGTGTCCGGCCCAATACCGCAAATGAGCAACTCTACTTCAAATACATGTTAGTCAAATTGGTTGTCTTGGGGTGTTGTTTAGTTCGGGTTTGTTTGATTTTTTTTTTTTTTAGGAAAGGTAATTTTAATAGAGATCAATTCTTCTTATCATAATCGAGTCCAACTGTATACTTGGCACACATTAATATACAACCGTGTAAATTAATTGATATCTAATTCTTAATAAATCTATTTGATATAGCTTACATGACATATAACAGACTAACAGGGCGTTTTAATACATAGTTATTGTCTATATGGCGTGACACTTGGCGAAAAATTAAAATTTCAAGTGTTGTTGGCTCTTGGTTGCAATACTCGATCGACTTTATTTATTAGTGATATGATATTATTTGTTAATGAATATAATCAAATGAATATAGGAAATTTGAATAACATTTGTGAACACTAAACTCCCTAAGAGCTGGTTTATAGAATAAGAGAAGTTTAGTAAATATATTTCAATATAAGTCAAGGATTGGTAAAAATAAGTATTGATTTTGAAAACAATTTAATCTTATTAACAATAATATAAGTTTAATAAAATCTAAACGTCTACTTAATTTCAAAAATATAATTTAAGTTTAATTCATTTCTGGTGAAATGAGCAATGAGCATGACTATTATTTTGTTTTCACATTTTTTGGTGAAAATGGAGATGAGATTTGAAAATTTGTGTTCATTCAATCACATCTTAATCATTTGTAACATGTATCTTATTAATAAGAAACTTAATTTCAATAATTACAAACAACACAACAATGATTCACGTATATGCACTAATACTCACATTATATTCTATTTTAAGGAGCTTATATCTTAAGCATAGGTGCAAAACTAAAAATAATTTTAATTAAGGAACGGAGAGAGTATCACTACTCGATTAGGCAATCCCACGAGGTAAACAAAATATTTGTAGTTAGGCCTCAGGTGACATGTACACCACTAATTAATTTTCTTATGTGACCTATCACCACAATCAAATATCTCATGCTCCATTCCCTCCAAACTTCAACGGTAGTTAGGTACAAATTTCATTTACATAATTAAAATATAACTAAGCAAAATAAAAGATGATAATTGTTTATTTCTACTTCCTATATATATATTACTTCCTTACTATAAACAGTATTATCATCAAATTAACTTCTTTCACAAAAATAATTCTCACCCTTTTGATCTTGTTCATTTTGTTACACTATAATCTTTTTCTTGTACAAAATTCTTATGTTTTGAAAATAAATAAATAAAATAAACCAATAGTTTTGTTCATAATGAGATTCTTCAAATTTGCCAAGTACATTTTCATGCTTTGCTTATTATCAGTTCTGTTGTTCTGTTTCTCTCTTAAGTCCAATGCTGCATTATCGAGTGATCGAGCAGCACTCCTTTCGTTCATGTCGTGTATCGATTTAGACCCTCAAGGAGCTCTTAGTACATGGAAATCTTCACATATCCATGTCTGTAATTGGACTGGTGTAACCTGCAGCATCAACGAAACTCGTGTCACTAAGCTTGATCTTAGAGGTAGGTTGTTAAGAGGGACTATTTCTGCTTCTCTAGGAAATCTTAAGTCTTTAAGTATCCTAGATTTGTCTGAGAATTTTTTTCAAGGACAAATTCCATCTCAACTAGGCTCGATTTCAGGGCTTTCACAGATTAGCCTAGCATTAAATCTTCTTCAAGGGGAGATTCCTCCTGAATTAGGTAGCCTTAAACAGCTGAATTACCTCAATTTAGGGAGCAATAACTTGGTGGGTCGAATCCCCGAGCCATTATTATGTAATGGTTCATCATCTTTGGAGTATTTAGACCTTTCTAATAACTCTCTTAGTGGGGAAATACCCATGAAAGAAGGGTGTGAGCTTAGGGAGTTGGCTTATCTCTTGCTTTGGTCTAACTATCTCTCAGGTCATGTCCCTCTAGCTCTTTCCGAGTCCACGAAACTCAAGTGGGTTGATCTAGAATCTAATAATCTAACAGGGGAAGTGCCCTCAAAAGTGCTGAGGAAGATGCCTATGTTGCAGTTTGTTTATCTGTCTTACAATGATTTTGTAGGCCATGATGGCAATACCAACCTCGAACCTTTCTTTGCTTCTTTGGCTAACGCGACTGACTTGCAAGAACTTGAGCTTGCAGGGAATAATGTTGGTGGAAATTTACCTCCTAATATTGGTAATCTTACAAATCTTGTACAACTTCACCTAGATGGTAACCTTATATATGGGTCAATTCCTCCTCAAATATCGAACCTTGTTAATCTTACCCTCCTTAACTTGTCTAGTAACATCTTAAATGGTTCAATCCCACAAGAGTTGTGTAAGATGAAGAAGCTAGAAAGGTTGTATTTAAGCAACAATTCACTCTCGGGTGAAATCCCATCGGCTTTTGGTGACATACCTCATCTAGGACTCTTAGACCTGTCTAAAAACAAGCTATCAGGCTCAATACCTGACAGTTTTGCCAATTTACCTCAGCTAAGATCGCTACAGCTTTATGAAAATCAACTCTCTGGACCGATACCTCCAAGTCTAGGCAAATGCATCAACTTGGAGATTCTAGACCTGTCACACAACAGAATTTCAGGGGAAATTCCTGGTGAGGTTGCAGGATTGAGAAGCTTGAAGTTGTACTTAAACTTGTCGAGTAACATCTTAACTGGTCCGGTACCACTAGAGCTTAGCAAAATGGATATGGTTTTGGCAATTGATTTATCCATGAACAATCTCTCTGATACTATACCTTCACGGCTTGAGAGCTGTGTTGCTTTGGAGAGTCTCAATTTATCGAATAATCACTTGCAAGGGCATCTTCCAACCACTGTAGGCCTATTGCCTTATCTGCAGTCATTTGATGTATCAAGAAATGAGTTGGTTGGTCACATTCCTGACTCATTTCAGACATCTTCAACCTTAAACAAGCTTAACTTCTCCTTCAACAACTTTTCTGGTTATGTGTCGAACAAGGGTGTGTTTTCCTTACTGGATGTAAATTCTTTCCTGGGAAACAATGGCCTTTGTGGTTCAATCAAAGGCATGCCAAGTTGTCAGAATAAAAATTTTCGGCACCATTACATGTTTTTGCCAATCGTAGTATCAGCATTTGGTGTTGTAGGTTTGTGCATTTTTGGTCGGTCTATGGTACTTGAAAGGCGGATAAAAGGAGCTTACAATGGGAAAGATGCAGAATCTTTGAAACAGATGTATGAAGAGCCTAAGTATCCAAGAATCTCCCACCAACAGCTTTTTGAGGCAACCAATGGTTTTAACTCATCAAGCTTGGTTGGTTCAGGTCGATTTGGTCGTGTTTATGAAGGGACTCTTCAAGACAACACCAAAGTAGCCGTGAAAGTTTTGGACTGCAGAGCTGATACAAAAGTTTCAGGAAGCTTCAAGAGGGAATGTCAGGTTCTGAAGAATATTCGGCATAGAAATCTAGTCAGGATCATAACAATCTGTAGTAAGCCAGATTTCAAGGCAATTGTTTTCCCTTTAATGTCAAATGGGAGCCTTGAAAATCATCTGTACCCATGTCATGAATTAAGCCGGGGGTTGGACCTGGGACAGCTTGTCAATATCTGCACCAATGTCGCGGAAGGAATGGCTTATCTCCACCACCATTCACCAGTTAAAGTTGTTCATTGTGATCTCAAGCCGAGCAATATTCTTCTGGATGATGACATGAATGCTCTGGTGACTGATTTTGGCATTGCGAAGCTTGTAAAAGAAGATGATGAGAGTCTCTCTGCTCATGATTCTGCTTCTTTTAACTCTACTGATGAATTGCTGTGTGGCTCTGTTGGCTACATTGCTCCAGGTTAGCAACTTATTAACCTCTAGTTAAATTCAATTCTTGTATATTATGATTCCAATATACTGATTACTCAAACTTATTTCATACTTTGTATATAACCCTTTAAACAATAGGGAAAATAAAAAAATTGACCTCAGGATCAGTGGTGCTGAAAATAATACAACAGCTAACAGTTGCAATGTTGCATAAAAGAATTCGCGCTCATTTATAATATGATTGCTGTTATTTAATGTAAACATGTAATGTTCTCTCTAATTAATGATCTGATATTGATCATGCAGAATATGGCCTAGGAAGGAGGGCTTCAACACAAGGAGATGTATACAGTTTCGGGGTACTTCTGCTAGAGATTGTTACAGGAAAGCGCCCTACAGATGTTCTCTTTGATGAAGGTTCAAGCTTACAGGAATGGGTTAAGAGTCATTATCCACACAATCTAGAGCCTATAATCGAACTGTCCCTAACAAGATTTGCTCCTTATGGCATAGGTTCACAAAACAAGAAGATTGTGTTGCGCGAAATTATCTTGGAGCTGATAGAGCTTGGCCTAATATGCACACAACACTCTGCTTCAACACGGCCAACTATGCTAGACATAGCCCAAGAGATGGGAAGGCTCAAGCAGTTTATCTTGAATCCTTCCTCGATACTCAATGATGAAGTTCATTCCAATTTTTAATACAGTACAGTCCTCATTTTGGGAAATTTTGCCTTTTTCTCAACTTGGATTGATTGTATTTGAAGTTGTACAAAAAAGAAGGTTACTAGTGAAAACGATTTTTTTTATTGGTTGATGATTATATCACCCATTCTTTTTTTTTTGGGTGTGTTCTTTCAATCTTTTGTAGGTTCTAGCATCATGATGTATGAAGTAGAAAGTTAATAGCCTTTTTTCTTCTTTTATTGGTTTAATGGAAACTCATTCTTTCTATAATCAGAAGAAGCTAATGGATTTGTGGTCCATTCCATTGCTAGAAGCCTAGAAATGCTGTCATTATTTCCTAATTGGTTGATAGGCTAGGCTATCACAGCCAACCATATGTAAAAGTCTTAGGAGGAATGATAGGTCAATCTCAAGGATCAATAAAATCACCACTAAATTCTAAAGTACCGTCAGGATCAACTAGGAGTTTCTCAGAATTACGGACAAAGGATTGGGAACTTAAAAAATAATATTATCGGCCCAAATCACCACAAATCTCAAAAGTAACACCGCTACCATCCAAAGTAATATGAACATTATGTACTCCATTAGCCTCAAAGTTTACTACAACACACATCTTATGAGCAATGGATATCTATAATAACCTTGAGATAAACTAGGATTTCCTTTTGAGACGATTTCATTTAAGACTTGCAACCAAATGAACCCAACTGAAGTCTAGAAAGTTGCCCTATAATTGTGCAAAAAGACCAACATAACATATGAATCCAATCAGTAGTATTTCTTTTGGCTTATTTCTTGTTTTATGCAAGCTTATTACCTACTCATCACAATCCTACTAATTCATGAATTACTTCTTTGCTAATGCTTTCCCAAATAGAAATGCACTACACTATCTCTCTCTTTTTGCCTACCCTTATATGTGTTTCAACAAAGCTCAGAAACCAGTGGAGGAACCAAGCTACCCAACTCACTAGCTTGATCAGGCGAGGTGATCCTGTCGTTTTCAGTATTGTCCATCAGCAGCATACAGGAAGAATGAAATCCAAAACACTAGAAAAAGTGATTGAAGAAAGTTTCTGATTTGTTTGTCTTATAGCAGCATTAAGTATGATTACATCAGTTCTATCATTCTCTTCCAATCTTCTCAAAGTCTACCAGATCATATTTTTTTGCCTAACTGCTTTAGTAATATGACATATTGCAGGAAAATTATAATATTATGTAATCTATGTCAACCCATTCCATACAAAAAACAATCATAATTCAGTAAAAGTGTTGAAATCAATAGATGTTAAAGGCTAGCAACTGTCTATTTCATCTTATGACTTATAGGCTAATCCTTCCCAACCGCCCCCGCCCCCAAATGCCTCCTAAGCTAGTTCCTGCCTGATGACCACGCTCCACAGGGCCGGCTACTAGAAATCGCAAAGTATTCTTGATATTTTTTTTCCGATAATAAGCACAGGACCCCTAAAATGTTTAAGACAGCGTACAATAGGTGCCAATACCAGTCTTCTCCCTCTTCTTTCTCTCTGTTTTCTGTAAGGCCTGTAATCTGGCACACAGTATAGAAAAAGGCAGCACCTTGAAAAATGATAAATTTGTTGAATTTCAAAGAATTTGTAAAGCAGATTTTTGGCACCGATCCATCCACGCTAGAAAAGTTTATACTAGTACGTAATATCATTAAATCTGCCACCTATGTTGACCTGTAACAACTAAATTTAGGAAGATCTATGAACTTGGTAAAACTAATTCAGATTATTATATTAAACTTTGTATATCCAGAAATAATCAACAAACAGAAAAGTCAGTTTTGATCAATTCAGTTAAGTATATATCAAGCTAAGAGAACAACAGCATACTTTCATGATATATGTACCTCTTATATTGACCTCTAACAAAACATCAGCATAAACACTCACAAAACAGTTCAAATTGCAAATTTTTTGGCCGACTATTTGAAACCAAAACATTCACCTGATAAAATTCATCTAGCATTATGGACATCATTCAGTGAGTGATCCGTACTATGTTTCCTTTTCTCAGTTCAACCACATGTCTAAGTCCAATCAATGTCACGTCGTAGCCAAATGGTCATTACAGTTGAATAACAGCCAGGCTCCTGACTTTTACCTGATAAGATCAGTAGGAAATGCATGCTAGCTCCACTAGTTTCTTAAATAAACACGCGATGCTTTACCAAAAGCAGACGCCAGAGCCAGACTGCAGGAAGAACAAGGTGCTTCTGATAGTGACAAGCATAACAAAGATCTAATATATTAGCTCTGTTGTATTCATTGAACAGAAATACACAATCAGATATTGCACTAAAGACATACATAATATTATATATTACATACTATTAGATGGGTTTTTACTAAATCTTCACTGCCGATATTCTTAAATTTTATTATCCTAATTGCAGTTAGGCAGCACAACATTGTACTTCTAATCGTAAAAGCTTTACATTATCTTGTTATATTAATCACAAGAGTACGGCTTAGTAATTTGATATCAGTCATGCTGAACCAATAATGATTCTAATTCATTAGAAAGTCGGACACAAATCTCTATCTCAATCTTCATTAGCAGAGCCTGAAGCCCTGAACTAACTTCTTTTCTCATTGCCTATACAGTCAGAAATCAGGTCAGGGAGATCATTTCAGTATTAGCAATCAGTTTACTGCAGAATTCAGATTGATGATTTCGGATTAGTTCATCAGTCTGAAATCTAGGAAAGCAGAAAGGCCAGACAGCCCAAGATGGCAGACTAATTTTAAACAAGTTAAAATGGTATTCAAAACACCTTAGCCAAATTACTGCCAGAGCCAGAATCAATGATACAGACCTTAGAGAAGGAACGAACATCTGAAAAACAATTTAGAAGAAAATGTTAGGGACTTTGTCAACTTTTTTCAAACATCGCAAGATAGAATACATACTGAAGGGGGGTGGGTATGTACTCTTATGTTTTCGTATCCCCATTATCTGAAGTTGCTAATTTTAATATGCACCGATTTATATAGAACTTCAAATTTACCAAAGGTTAAAGGCAAACTGTCATCTTCACCTTACCATTCAATATCAAGATGTTCTGAGCTTAGTTATGAAAAATAAATTCTACTTTGTCAAGCCTAATCAAATACAAACGAGGACATGATTAGCGTGTAAATTCTGTAGACTTATCTGTGTTTACCTCTCCTTCATAATGGTAAGGGCACAGCTAAACCTAACAAGTTGTGTAGAGCCAAGGAATAGTGTTAGAGCTCAACAGGAAAATAGTAAGGTATTTCTTAACCTTTAGTCCACATTAGTAAAAAGAAAATTAAAAAATTGTACAAACTAGTAATGAAGGAATGTTTCACGAGCAATCTACACATAGAGGTGTTTACATGAATAAGGGGTTTACATTTGACTATTACCAAAGTAAGTCTAAAGTCCCTTAAAGAAATAGTTGGTCTGTTGTGCGGTTGGTCTCTCTCAACTTAAAGGTGAGACACGCAGCAAATCACCCCTCAACATTATAACAAGTAACCCCTCAATAAACAAAAGGCACCCTAGCATACATAAAAAAGTCACCGCCAACAGACACCATATACAAGTTGCCCCAAAACCAACTGGTGACGCTGAAAAACTCTGTTTCTCCTGACCAGAAATAGGGGGAGATTGGGATACAATCAACCTGTTGTAATCATTCCGATGGGGTGGCAGTCCTCTCTTGCCAGTAATTTTCTGTCTACATCGGAAAGTTTTCTGATTATGATAAATGGATAAGGGAGTCTTGACCTTAAGCTAAGTGTTTTTTATTGGAAAAAGCTTTACAGTTTGACAACAGTTCTGGTTTACCAACAACCTAATGAGGCTGCAATTGTCAACTAACTCAGCTATTTGGTAATAGTTTTGACTTCTTCAGCATAAGCTGGTACAAGAACATTCCAATTAATCTCATCAATTTTGTCAGCAAATAGTTACCGTCATTATCTAGAGAAAATATAACTTTGATCATTGAAACCACCAACCAAGCTGGAAGAATTCAGAGCAGTCAATATAAAGGTCAGATGACACGGTATAAATTCTTAGATACTTCCAGCTATCAGCTAATTGTTCAAAAGAATTATAACATGTCATCAATAAAACTATAGTCATGCTTTGAAAATGCCTCAACAACCACCCAATTATTGTTTAGATATCGAATTGATTTATAGATTTGGTAGTATCACGTCCACATATACCAGAGAGGACATAAGGAGTTACAATCCACTATGTGTAACGGGTATGAGAACATAATTCGCTACATAGCTTATTTTGTGGTTAGAGAGGTATGAAGACTTGATAAGACCTATAACAAAGAAAGTGCAATTAAATTTCTTCGATAGAACACTCTCACTACAAGTTTCTCAAGTGTGAAGCTAAGCGTAAGAATGTGTAGGTCTATGGGGCTATAATATTCATTGGGGTAACTAACCACAAATCAAGAGTCAGGGTGCACCATTTAACATTCTCTTGGCTAGATGCATGATAAGGCACATCTAATGACCAAAAAAAACTCCTGTTACTTAAAACTGATACAGTAAAGATGAATAACATATTAACTTTAGAGCACTACAACATCATATTTATAGTCTTTACACTGTACACCATTGACACTTACGCTTTGTTTGGATAGCAAAGAAGGAAAGAAAAGAAGGGGAGGGAGAATGGAGGAAGGGAAGGGAAAAGAAAGGAAGGGAGAGGTGAGCTCCATTTTCCCTCCAAATCTCTCCAATTTTGGAGAGATTATGGTTATTATAGAGAGAGGGAAAATAGATCCCTCCCTCTCCTTCCCCTACCTTCCCCCCAATCTTTTACCCAAACAAGAGATTTTGTCCCCCTCCATTTCTCTTCTCTTCTTTTCCTTTCATTTCTTCCTATCCAAACAAAGTGTTAGGCTCTGTTCTTTCCATGTTCAAAGAGAACATTTCAGATTCCAATAAGCGTTAAGGAAACAGAAGTTCAGATAAGTTGTTCTCAGGTGAAAGGAACTGCATCTTACTATCAAAAATAGAAAGATAGGGTGATATGACATTCAAAAATCTAAAACTCCGCCAAGGCGCCAAAGATTTAGTGTTGTTTCAATCATTTACAAACTTGCGTGTATATCCAATTCTGTATGAGAAGGAAATTTACACAGCTAGGAAAACCAAAGAAAACAAGGAGCCATATATGTGCTCTAAGGTATGGAACTCACCTCGAAGAGATGTTTCTATACGACATAGGTTGTTTTATCTATACATGATATACATGGGAACTCAAAACTCAATTAAGCAATTTCACAACTTCATCTTAGGAAAGAAACAGATAACACAAAAATCCTCCAAGATAGTTGGCATTCTTTTCCAGATACCAATTCTAGAAAAAATAAGGAGCTAAAATAACCA